GGGCACTGACTGCTGGGCTCTTGGTTGTATTTCATATAGCAGCAGGGCTTGTTTTCAGAAATTGGGGAGCACAAGCTCCTGTCTCACCTTCTTCCCTACTTAGTGCCCACAGCCTCGCTTGCCCAGCAGACACCTTGGAGCCCTGTGTGCAGGGAGAAGAGGCACGAGCCCACACAGAAATGGAGTATGTCCCTTCTGCCATTGGAAATCTCATTCATGAACTTCTACTCAACTTTAAAAATAGGGGGGAAAAAAAGAAAGAAATGCATTACAGCCTTTTTCTGAATGCCAAATAGGGCAACGTGCTGGTCCAGCTTTGAGATACCTCTTGAGGCACTCTGGGGACATCTTCCCCTGCTGTCTGCCATCCCCCCTGGCACCATCCCCTCTGCTTGGTGCCAGACAGCCCTGCCTGAATCCCCAGGCAGGGTGCAGAGACCGTGCCCTCCTGGCTGTCACACTTGCTCCCTGGCAGGCAGGGTCAGGTCTGGGTGGGTGCCCAGGGCTCACATCCCCCTGCTGCCCCACTGATGCTCAGTGTTTTCTGAGCAGCACTGCCCCGTCTGCTCGGATTTCATGTGCTGCCACAACTTGTCAATGTGCTGTTTGGTACATCAACAAATCGACACTGCACAAACAGAAAGCTAACAGGGAATGATTTATCCAGGACAACATATCTGTGTGTCCAGCAAGGCAAGATGTCCTGTAAACAAAATTCAGTATTTACTGATGGCTCATCGGCAGAGCTGCTGTTTTGTAGCACAGTTGAATTACACTTGGCTCTCGCTCTCTCTGGGTGTTGCTCGTTTAATCATAGGATGCTTTCCTTTTAATTAGGCACTGCTGCTACTGATGAGAGAATTAGCAGACTCTTCTTTTAATGGAGAAGCTGAGGCTGTGGCAGCTGTGCTGTAATGGGGGTGGTGGGCAGAGGCTTTGTGCTACATAGAAAGCCCAGGCTCTGCACCTCAGTTTCTGCTTCCTGAAAAATGTCTTTTTTAGGGTGGTCCTGGAAGGTTTTTTTCCCCCACAATATATCATTTAGTCAAAGGAAGGATGTTACTTCACCCAGCTGCTGTGTTGTGGCCGTCAGAGAGAAAATCAGAGTGATTTTGCCAGCTGTTTTCCTCCCAGCCCAGTGAGGATCCATGGAGCTGGTTGTTTGCCAGGAGTCAGCGACTCTCTCAGGTATATCATGTCTAGAGCTGGTCAATACTGTTTTGATTAGACAGGTATTGTCAGAAAAGGGCAATTTATCACATTTGAAGCTGTTTGTGGGAGAGGAGCAGTTTCAGTGGACTGGCTTCAAAAAAAAAAACCCAACTTTATTGGAATATGTTGTCTGAGGTGTTTGAAATGTCCATTTGGAGGGTTAGTTCCCTAATGGTTCCCATTGGAAAGTTCCATGTTCTTCTTCAAGCTGACTTTTATTTTTATATATATATATATATTTTTTTTTTTTTTAGTTGATTTACAGTACAGAGCAAAGGGATAAAGGAATGGGGACTGAAATAGAGGGAAGAACCTCCAAGATTTTTTGCATTATGTCTTAATTTCCCATGTCTGAAATTTTGAATTCTTGTTTGGGATGGGATGATAATTTTAATTCCCATGGGAGAGAAAATAATGTTTCTGCTGTACTATAATGATGTCTCAGGAAAAAGATCTCAGACATATTTGTGATTTCTCTAGAGTAGAAGCATCTTATAAAATATCTTATTATCTTATACATCTGTGGCTGAATGAAAATCCCATAGCTGGCATTCTTAGAAGGGTCTGAATCCCCACTGCCTGGCTGAGATTCCCCGGGGCAGGATCATGATCACAGCCCCCCTCTCCTGGTACAAATAAATCCCAGTGGTGTCATGGCAGGGGTGCCCCATGGGCCAGCTGCAGCTCTGTGTCCCCTGAAAGGGATGATGAGCTGCTTCAGGGGACTCGTGAGCTGCCCTGAGGACCCCTGAGTGGGACTGAGGGTCTTGAGGGGATGCCCTGCTTCACAGATGGCTGTGAAATCCCCCAAATAATTTGCATCACCCCATCTCAACTGTTTAGGGATATGTAGTTTCCTGAAGCAAAATAACTGATATAAAATAGCTGATCTCAGCCAGGTCAGAGTGGGGTGTGCTTCCAGCAGATGCTGAGCTTGCCCACCCCAGCAGAGCTCCAGGCTGCTCCGGATCTTCTCTTTTCCTGGATGGGTGACATGGAAGTTTTCCCTTTCTCTTTCAATCCAGTTTGACCAATTAGATTTTTGGGTATTAATTCTCACCTCTGGTTCAAGAGTTCCCACTCTTCATTTTTATTATGTCTGCCCAGTGTCTTGGATATTGAAAACTGTTTCCTGAAAAGAAGTGGAAAAGAGTGTGTGGAGGAGGAGTGGGAGGGCAGGCAGCTTTCTTGGGGTGAAATAATGGGAGGAAGGTAGATTTTTGCTGCTGTGTCAGTGCAGGCTGACCCATAGCCCTCACAAGCCAGGTCTGTTTGGGTGTTGGAGATCTCCTGAGTTGGATGGTCTGGGAGGGAAATTTCATGGGCCATAAGGGTCACAGCCCCTCCAGCGTGTGCTGAGGATCCTGAGAGGGTTGCAATGTAAGTGCTGCTCCCCCTCTGCCTCCCCACATCACCCAGCTATGCCCTGCCAGCACCTCCCATCTGGATTTGCACAATAACTCTGACTAGAAAGTGCCCATGAAGTCCAAAGTTTCATTAATCAATGCTATTAACACATCATCCCTTCCAGGGCTGTTGGATTTTCCGTGTCAGCCCCCACGAGGAAGGGATGTTGTGACTGCAGGAGGGATGTTGGGCAAGGGGTTTAAACGGGTTGTGCCTGTGGTGCCAGTTGGATTTCACTGTACCACTGCAGAGGGGGAATAGAGGGTGGAAATCAGCCTTCAGGGTCCAGGTTAGTGGTGCTGATGGATGAGAAGGAAAGCTTCCAGGAACACATCTCCTTTCCAGCTGTATCACTGCAGTACTAATAACAGCACAGCCTCCCTCGGCTCTGAGGCGCTCATGAATGAGTTGGCATTTTTTTGTGAGTAATGTAGAATTGTAGCTATTTCAAATTGTCCTGAGGTGCAGCTTGACATATAAGTTCTTGGCCTATTTATTACCCTGTGTCTGAGTGTTCCCATGGGTATTACAGCATTAAACCATGGCTGAATTTAATACTGGCAGCTGCAACGTTTGTATTTTAGCTGTAGATCAGTGGCAGGTGATTTGGGCTGTGTGCGTGCTGTGTTTGGCAAGCTCTAGCCAAGGGATCTGTTCTTCAGCAAGGATGTTTAAGTTGTGTTCAACACCCTCTGTTTTTTACTTTTTTATTACATTTTCTTTTAAATGCTGCTGTTTCCTCCTTTGCTATCCTGTGTCATCACAATATCCGTGCAGGGGTATTATCCGTGCAAGTCCTCAGGGATTCACTACCATGTTAAGACAACATCACACCAATTTGGGTTCCCATCTACCCTCAAGCTGGGTTGAAGGAACTTGAGCTGCAAAGGCTGGGCCTGGGTAGTTTAACCCTTGGAAACAAATATTTGAATGTCTACATGTTTTTATTGTGTTTTTTGCCAGCATGTATCTATGAACCCCTTGGTCACTGTAGTTTTTTGAGCTCTGAAGCATGGTGGACCAAGTGTTGACCCTCCCCCTGAGGTCTCTGCTGTCATACTGGGGTTGGGTCACCTCAAGTCAAACCCTACAGTGCTGTGGTGTGGCAGCTCCTGCTCTGTCACAGGAAATTTTTGGCCAGTCATGAACGTGTTTCATGTGAGTGAAAGGTGCAGTCAACTGCATTTGTTGCACATCGTCTCCTGCTCGTAGTGTGGCTGCTGTAAGCGTGCACATCTGGCCATAACCCACCATGGTTATGGCCCAGGCATCTAAAGCCACGTGAGTGGTTACAAGTTAGACCAGCCAGTGCCAAACTACCCCAGGGGAGCCTGGCAGCTGTGTTGAGGTGTTGGGTGAGCCGTGCCAGCCCAGTGCCGCGCGCCGTCTCAGCGCCGCTGGGCGACCCCGCCACCGTCTGCCGGCGGGGCGGCAGCTCCTGGTTTTAATGCAGCCTTTCAGAAGAAACAAGCAGCTGTGTCTTGGGGTTAAATGGGGAGAAGCGACCTGGTGTGTGGATTCTCTCTTCGCCACTGACTGATCCCACACAGATTACACCACCGGGTTTCGTCTTCTGCCATATGTTTTCCCGTAATGCCTGCCCACCTGTCGGGGAAAGTGAAGCTCTGGGCATCTGCAGGCATTGTTGGAAACCCTCTGTGAAACATGCTAAAAAAGCATGAAAGGTATTACTTTAGGTCTAAGACTACCAGGAGTCTGTTTGATAAGTTTTTGTGGTTTTTTCATACCTCTGTTTTCAGATTGCCTGTCTGGAATGCCATCACTGGGCCCTTCCTCACTTGCAGATTTGGGGCTGCCTGATAATGAGATTTCTTTTGAGTAACGAGATTTTTTTTTTTTTTTTTTTTTTTTTTTTTCTTTGTGATTTTTTTTTTTTTTTTTTTTTTTTTTTTGAGCCATTCTGGTTATATCACCTCAGATCTCTGCTTTTGAAAAATATTAGCTCAAATCTTTTGATGAGCTGCTAAATAAAAAGACAAGCCCTAAGGGATATTTATGTGTGAAAATGGCCTGAATTTCCCTTCTGCATAAGGAGAATCAGTGTGGGGGATGTCAGAGCATTAAGCCTCAGTACATGCCACTTCTGCCTAAACCTCCTGAGGTGGTCCTAAAGCTCTGATTAACGTGAAGTCCATGTCCAGATTTACCAGCTGAATTTACAATAGACTTCTAAACCTTAAACACTCTGAAGGCATTTTCCTTCCATCTCCTGGGCTTTGAGTGAGCTATTGCCATTTTCTCACCACATCATTAGCATCAGTATTCTTACACTTGCAGTATTGGGGCTTGTTGTGTTTCCATGTGTGATTTTTAGATATGGAGCTGGCTGTTTTCTCAATTCCCTCTTCTTCTTTCCCCAGCCAGAGGAACTTACCAATGCCCTGGAGATCAGCAACATTGTCTTCACAAGCCTCTTTGCCCTGGAGATGCTGTTGAAAGTCCTTGTTTATGGTCCTTTTGGCTACATTAAGAATCCATACAACATCTTTGATGGGATCATTGTGGTGATTAGGTACAAACCTTGAGCTTTCTTTATGTGTGCTTCTCCTCATTTGGGTGTTTAATTAAACAGAAAGTAATGGAGAGTTGGCATAAATACCTTCCTGTGACACTTTACACTTCTCTCTGTAATTAATGTACTTAGGCATGATTGCTAATACATATCTTGGGATTATTTTACGGTCATTTTAGAGAGAGGCCCAAGCAGAACGCTATCAGTTCCAAAGTCCTGGGACAGTCTGGGATCCAAATGGCACAACCAGTGCCCAGTTAAATATCTCTGGTTTTTTGGCACATGCAAAGGCTGTAATTGCCCCTGCAGCTGCAGTCACTGATTTCCAGGCATATTTTTGACACTCAAGTGGGGCTCTGCTCTTTGCAAGCCTGGACAGAGTCCAGATCACCGCGGGCATTGGCAGCACATCTCTGCCCACTTTCCATCTCTCTTCTCTCTGAATTTCACCTTCCCTTCACTGCTCCTCCTCTCAGCCTGTGCAATTAGGCTTTGTCTGTCATCTTGCACTGACATTTTTTGTCCTCGCCAGCGTGTGGGAGATCGTGGGCCAGCAGGGCGGGGGGCTCTCGGTCCTGCGCACCTTTCGTCTCATGCGGGTGTTGAAGCTGGTGCGCTTCATGCCAGCCCTGCAGCGCCAGCTCGTCGTCCTCATGAAGACCATGGACAACGTGGCCACCTTCTGCATGTTGCTGATGCTCTTCATCTTCATCTTCAGGTGAGTGTTTCCAATTCCCCATCCGGAGCTTGCTCTGGGTTTTTAGATGGGATCCCGTGGTGGGATGAGGAGGTGGCAGAGTCCATACCAGAACATGGCTGAGCTGAGCAGTCCCAGGACCAGCATTGCTGCCCTAAATTCTCACAGTCAGACAAATGAGATTTATTTGCAAAATGGTTTACAAAGAAAAACTTTCAGGCTGGATGATTCCTTGACATCACCCCAAGACAGCAGTCATGTTACTTACCAGCTATCAGAAAGCTTGGTGATAAAAATATTGCCAAGAGGATGATGTTCCTAAAGGAATGTCAGACATGGTGGTGCTTGTGCCTTTTCACAGCCTCATCTTCAGACAAGTGGAAATGTTAGAAACAGGGTTGGCATATCCTTGTATTTTTAGATTTTGGTCTGGATTTTGAGAAGAGCCTTTCTCTTTCTACAGCCAACTGTGGTGTTTGAGCAATGCAGGCACTGGGCAGGCTGAAGAGAGACAGTCTCTTCCAGGGCATAATGTCCCGTCTTCCCGTGAGACTCCAAAACTGCCATTTGCAGGTGTGGTGCTCAGTAGAGCTGTAAATAATTTGATTATTCAGATTACTAGCAGAGAGCAGGGAAAAGCAGATTATTCTTTTAGTATCTATCCATAATGAAAGGTATTCTGTTCTTCTGTCAAAATTGAAAAACCTGTTTTGAGTCCCCTGATATGTCTTATTCAGGCATTTCACAGAAACCCTTTTTGTCTTCCTAATTCAGTTGAAGCATATTTTGCTGAAAATGTGTCATTGCAAAACAGAAAGTCAAAACATTTTGTTTAGAAAATGTTGAAAGACAATGTTTTGACTTACAAAAAATGAAGCAGAAGAAAAATAAGGAGCAGACATACTTTTTGGTTGAAACTCCTTGGCAGATTTGACCTAAATTCACAACTGATCTGCGTGATCTCAAGGCATGTTTTTCAGCAAACAAAGGATCTGTCTTTTTTTTAAAAAAAACAACATAAAAAGGAATTGCTCAGGTGAAATCAGGACAGAGTCACCCTGCTGTATGGTTACTGATTTGTGTGGTGGTCCTGTTGCTGAGCCCCTGCTTCCTGTCACTTGCAGCATCCTGGGCATGCACCTCTTTGGCTGCAAGTTCGCTTCAGAGCGGGATGGTGACACTCTGCCCGACAGGAAGAACTTTGACTCCTTGCTTTGGGCCATCGTCACTGTTTTCCAGGTACAAAATGGAAAATGCCACAACTGATGGGTGTTTTGAGACTGCAAAGACTGGGGTTGTTTTCCAACACATCCAAGAGGGCTTAGTGAAGTTCCATGCCATGGAAAGATGACCCAAAAAACACAAGTGCAGGTTTATGAGGCTTTCAGACTGTTTTCCTGACTAAATCAGAACCCTGGTGAGGAGGGGCTGCCAAGTCAGGACGCTCTTGTGTTTTCAGTGTGGACTGGGTGGGTGAAAGTAAATGTAGAGGGCAGGGATGGAAAGGAGGAGATCAGGACCATTTGAAATGGTATTTTGACAAATAATGGAATCTGGTTTAAAGCTGATACATCCAGTTTTTTGTCCTAGCAGCTCTGGGCCCTTTAACCCTGGGATCTGTGAAGGACTTTAAGTCATTCTGGCTGACCAAAGGAAAGGCCTGACCAGTGTGATGTTACCCTCCCCTATTGCTGTCCCTGGACATGGGGGACAGGGCAGTTTGCACAAGGTCCTTGCTGGTGGTTGGGAATCACAGTCTCCCTGGTTCTCTCTCTTCTCTGGCTCAGAAGGGATTTATCCTCCTGTGGTTACAGCTACAGTGGGAACCCTAAAAGCAGGATGCTTGTCTGGCCTATCCAGAGCGTGGATACCCAGCATGCTATCCTCCAGTATCTCCTAATGCCCTTCCTCTGCAGATTTTGACCCAGGAAGACTGGAACAAGGTCCTTTACAATGGCATGGCCTCCACCTCATCCTGGGCTGCTCTCTACTTCATCGCTCTCATGACATTTGGGAACTACGTTCTCTTTAATCTGCTGGTGGCCATCCTGGTAGAGGGTTTCCAGACAGAGGTAATGTCCTCATGCTTATGCCTTTGCTTCCTTCTCAAGTTTTAGGACCTCCAGATCCTGGAATCTGATTTCTGAGGTGGACAGCAATACCTTGACATAAGTGGTATGGGAAAAAAGTAGGGTAAAATATTAGATCTTTTTTTTTTTTTTTTTTTTTTTCTTTTTTTTTTTTTTTTTTTTACGTTTTTTGTTTCTGTAGCCATGGTGTAATTTAATACAGCAAACTCTCTAAATGAAGGGCTTAAATGAAAAGCATTGTTAGCATTAATGCAGGAGTGGGAACTGAGGTGTGAGTCAGGCGCTGTGGATGGGATCACTGCTATGACAGTCTCTTTGAAACAGTTTTCACCGTGTTTGTCATCCAGATTAAAGCCCCCTCCTGAAAACTTACACAGGCTGGTAAGAGATTAGTGACACGATTATCTTTTTTCATGGTATGCATTTGTGGAGCTCTTCCAGTTTCCAGCCCTGCAATGCTCTGCGTATTTTAAAGTACAGAATTTCTGGTCCCTGCTGTCTGCTTCGTCGCAATGGGAGCTTCCATGAGACATCCTGCACTGCTGGAGGTTTTGAGGGGGCATGTAGGCTGCAGCTCAACCTTTTTTTCCATCCTAGTGTCAATCCAGCTGTCCAGCTTGGAGTGGGTGTGCATGTCACCTAGTACCTCTCAGAGTGGGGGACCTGTAGGGCTCACCTGCTCCTTTCAGAAGTTTTCCAGCTGTTCAAGAACGTCCATAAGGGGAGGCAACCCTTATATCCTGCCCAGGGTGTTGGTTGGAGGGGTAAATACAACCTAAAACTCCTCACTAGGGTCTGCTTGTATGGGCTGTGCTTCTACACACTATCTCTGATTTTTTAGAGCATTCTGGGGTGAATAAATATTATTTGATGTTTATTGCATGTATATTATAAGATACTGCAACCCTACAAACAGAACAGTTTTTATTATCATTACTATTTTTGAAGTTTGGAGTTAAATTGATGGAGTCATACCAGGACATAGCAAGAAGAAATTTTTTTTTGTATCATCTCACTCTCTCCATGTTGATGCTTTTCTTTTTTAATTGTTATTGTTGTAGCTGTTTCTGTCTGTAAACGTCCCCCACCATTCAGCCAAAGGGACAATCACTGCTGGGTTTTCTCAAAGAGCAAAATATTCCTTTGCCCAGTTCTCTCAAATAGCAAAAATGTTCCCTTGCTCAAGTGAGAAGAGGGACAAAGCTCCTTGTCTGTGCCTGGTGACAGCTTCGAAACCCAACCTTTGTTCACTCTGGCAAATTGATCTTTGAAGGTCAGCACAGGAGATCACCTGGATCTCTGCACCCACTCTGCAGAGGAAAGGATACAGCCTTTAAATGCAGCAGCCCATTTGCCAGTCCATGGCCCTCAAGGGAGGCTGACTCCTCTGCTCCTTGGCTCAGCCTGCTTTTCCATGCTGGAGCATGCTCCTGCTCCACCACTGCAGCATGCTTCTTCCTGGGCAGCAAATTATCCCTTGTTTGTGGCCAGCTGTGCCATGGTGCAGCTCCCTGTAAAGTCATGTCCTGGCTTAATGTGTTGTGGTTTTATTCCAGTAGTAATGTCCTTGAGGGTATGGCTCCCCTGGAGTCAGGGAAGTGCCTGCAGCACTCCTCAGATTTGCTCTTGGCTGTTTTTTGCAGCAGGGCTGCCCCATGAACTGCCCCATCTCCTCTGCCAGGGCAGTGCTAGGCTGGTTCAAGCCAGCTCCAGGATATCTGTGTAAGCTGAAATGTGCTTTAAGTGCTCTGTAAATCAGGGAGAAACCTCAGATTTGGGACAGCACCAGGACAGCCTGAAGCCAGTGATGCTCATGCCAGTACTGAGGTGAGCACAGGGAGCAGGAACCAGTGCAGCCCCCAAAGACTAAACCTGGGTTGTCAGTCCTGCACAGCATGACAATTTTAAGAAACTCACACCACATTTCTATAATTTGTGACTCTGATTGCACTGCTATTTCATATCTCAGGCTTTGATGATAGCTTTTTTCATAGTAATCTTCCTTCCACATCCTCGTTATTCTGAGTTCTCTACATTCATCCAGTAAGGTGCAATGGCACCAGGAGAGGCCTTGGCTCAGCCCAGGTTTCCTGCAGCAGGCTGGGAGCAAATGTCTGTGGAGGTCAGGCCCCAGGTCTCGCCTTGCTGGTTTATGTTTATTCAGCTTTGCTGGTGTGTAGCTTTGTGCACAGATCACATTCTGGTTTTTGCAAGGCAGCACAGAGAGGATCCTCTCCTAAGCAGAATTGATAGAGAGATCATCTCTCGCTGTAAACAAACCCCAGCGTCTACTGCCCATGTCTGCACTTGACTCTTCTAAGTTGAGCTTGTTGGGGTTTTTTTTCTATTCTCCTTCAGATTTCTGGGCTGAAACACAATCCTGGGGCTGCTGCCTTTATCTCCCTGGTTCTTGAGTGCCTTTCCTCAATCCACAAGCACGTCGTTAATTTTAGTGCATGGCTTTGCAGCCCCAGTTGCCAGGCAGCAGATGACTATAAGCAGCTGAAAAACTAAAAGAGCCTCTTCCAAACTTTAAATACAGAGCAATGTATTTCGTAGGATTGAAGTGGAGGGGGTTTTTTTCCCCCATTTTTTCCTTTAATTTGGAATTAATTCCTTTAATTTGGAATGTTTCCTTTAACCAGCTTCTCTCATGCAAAAGGCATAGGCCTTTTTGCCATGTGGTTATTTTTGACTGCACATTCCCTGACTGAACAGGACTCTGGTGTTGGTATGGGGAAGGTGAGCAGGGGACTCTGTTTGATTGAGCTGCTACCTGGAAATTGCTGCGTGACCACTCCAGTGCCTGCCTTGGAGACTTCTCTCTGAAGCAAGGAATAACTCCTCTTAGTCAGGCATAAAGCTCCTCTCCCAAGGGAATTCCTGGTAGTGTTATCTCCAAGGTCTATTCTTCCATTGGTAATCCTCCCAGTTTGTGTCCTGTTGTCCCCATGGACAGCACCCATGCGTTTGATCCTTTCTGTCCTTTGTGCCCCACTCCCTCCCTGGCACCCCAGCTCCTCCAGCCTCTCCATCCTTTTCTCTGCAGGATTCTACTTGCTCTCTAGAGGTAACATCCTTGGGGTAATATAGATGTTCAACTTCTGGGCTTTCACCAAAGGGAACAGTCCCTTCTCCTGCAGGGGAGATTTAGATGGTGTTTTTCTTGCACCCCTTGCCTACTGCATTCCTATTGGCTTCAGTGGGATTTTCCTTGTGAAAGGAAAATTTCCATCTTTCCATTTCGATGTTCTTTCCATGTCTCGCTCTGTTACAAGCAAAGACTTTAAGTTAAGTGTCCATCACATTGCAGGCAAGTCCTTAAACTCTTCATCCCAGCCTAGGCTGGGGTGAGTTTTGTAACAATTTAGCAACCAGAGGAAAGATCCATTGCCCTGTAGGCAAGAAATTCAGCTGGTGGGATAATCTGTGCCCTACTGCTTCAGCATGGAACCTCTTGCTGCCCCATGGGACAGGACCAGGCACTGCCACACTGCTGAAAAATGCTGAGGAATACTGGGAGAGCCACCCCTGAGCAAGGGGAAGCACAACAAGGTGAAAAATGATGTCTGTTTTCCAAATGGGTAGGGAAAGGCTGGCTTCTGGTGCTGTGAAATGTTGGGGTCATGGGTGTAGCAAAATTTCCCATGATGGGGCTGTGCCCCCCTGGCTGCAGACCCCTGATTTAAACTGCTGATTCAAATGGGTGTTTCCACTAACAGGGCTGAGCAGGGATCTGAACTCACACAAGACTGCATCTCTCCTTAAATTAGGTATTTCACCTGCAAGAGCACTGATATTATGTTAATCAAACATTCATTAAAAGCCTCCATTGCTGCTTAATGAAAGTGCAATAAATAAAGATGCTATTATACAGCTGCAAAAAAAAAAAATCATGTTTTCAATAATTAGCTGGCGTTTCATTAGCACAATTATCACTTAGGAGCTGAAGCAAGCTCTGTTTGAAACACTTAATTTAAAGGGTGTAAGGCTGGTCCCTTCAAAGGGCTTCTTTCTACCTGAGATCCCCAACTCCCTCCCTGTGCCGAGTGGAATGGATCCAGTGCCTGGCTCTCCATTGTGGCCACACACTGCCCTCCTCCCCCTTCCCCTCTGCCTCCCTGCCTCTTCTCCTGTGTTTTTTTGATTCCCCGCTCAGTCCTGCTGTTGAAACTGAAAATTGAACCCCACCTTCCCCTTCCTCCCTCTTCCTTCCCCCCCCGTCTCTCCTTCAGGAGCTCTCCAAGCGAGAAGAGGCGAGTGGGCAGTTAAGCTGTATTCAGCTGCCTGTCGACTCGGCGGGGGTACGTACAGCGCATCCCGCCGCACCGTGCTTGTCTCTCGTGCCTGGTCACACACCGTGGTGCTGTTCTCATCCCAGTAGCTGTCAGTCATTCTTTTGGGGTCTATTTGAGTGTTTTGGAAGTGTTGGGTTTTTTGTTTTTTTTTTTTTTGGTTTTTTTTTTTTTTGGTTTTTCTTTCCTTTTTTGTCACCCTCATTGTTGAGCCCTGATTTTAAGTCCCTTCCTTCTCTGAGGGACCCAGGTAAATTTAAGGTGGGTGCTTGGAAGTGGCAGACAGCAGCTCTCGCTGCCCCCTTTCTGGATGCCTGCCCTGGGGAAGGCTCCCCTAGAGGCTGTCACAGCCTCTCCATGGCACAATGACATCCCAGGGACATCCCTGGGGTGTGGATGGTGATGCTGCTTGCAGGGCACAGTGCCGAGGCTCCCTCCTGCAGGCGGGGGAGGATGCCTAGGAGTGAAGGGACCTGGAATCAAACCTGTGTTGATAGGGGTGTGTGTGTTGATGTGTGCGTGGGAGCCCTGTGCTCTGCAGGACAGGGTACGACAGCAGCAGTTGCACTGTGGGAATGCTGAGATTGCCAGCACAATGCCACTTTACAGGATGTGAAATGGTCCGAGGAAGCTGTGGATCTCCGAAGCACAGCACACCACAAACCTCCTCCTTCTGCCAAACTCATCTCTCTCTTTACCACTCACTTCCCTTTCTGTCTTTTCCAAGAAGCCTGGCTTTTTCCTCAGCCCAAAAGCCCTTTCCCCTTGTATCCCAGTGTGTCAGTCCCTTTTGGTACAGGCTGGTTTAGTTGTTGTACTGCCTGGTCCAGCTTGACATACCCTCATTTCCCAAAAGGATTTTAACTCCCTGTTCTCTCGTAACCCCTTTTCTATCCAGAAAGGCAAACTGGGAGTGCAAGAACAGGTAACGGGCAGCAGCACCAGCTGTGAGATGTTTGCCTGCACCGTCCTGAGTCTGGCACGTGGTGTTTGGGAGGGGATGCTCACTGCCCTCCAGACGTGGGGTTTGGTGCTGGGGAAGGGGGTGGGAGTTCCCCACATAGCTCTGCTTTTCCCTCTCGGCACACATCTCATTGTGCCCCCTTAAAACTTTCCTTAGGGCTGTTAAAGAGCACTCCAGGAATACAAATCATGTAAAATTCTTCACAGTATTTATTTCTTTTTAATAACCCATTAGGGAGAATGAGTAATTCCTGGCAGGCCTGCTGACAGGCTGAGCTGGGAGCCTCTGTGGGGAGCATACCTGGAGCCAGCTGGAGCCCCTGCTCACACAGAGACTAGATCTGATTCCAGCAAAGCTCAGGCCAGCCTGACTTTACTGCTCCCTCTTGCAAGGTGCATTCCTGACCTTTTCAGACTGCGTCCTGCAGGAGGAGCTTCCCTGAAAAGCCTAGAAGTCCTGTATCCTCAGGGGAGTTTTGAGCCAACACTTCATACCATACTCTCTTTTGCCTTAAAAAATACCTCTGAGTGTCCAGCCTGCCTGGAAAAAATATCTTTAATAGTCTAGTGACCCCACACTAAATAGGGAGGGAGTATTGCAGCTCATCCCTCTGGGGTTTTGCTTAATAATGAGGTGTGGGGCACTGACCTGTGTTGGATTCATCTATTCCTTCTGTCTCAGGCTGGGGTCCTTCATAGATCTTACAATCAATGGGTACCCTAGCACCAAACCTCAGCAGTACTGGCCAGGGCTCCTGTGGACGCAGCTTAGCCTTGGTGGGGTTTTCTGGGGCTCCTGGGCTCTCACTGCTGAAGTGAGGATCTGCTTGGCTTCCCCCATCCCAGCATCTTCCCCCACCTTCCCACCTCTTCTCCATTGTGTCAGGGCTTGGTGCCCTTTGCCAGAGCAGTGGTTTCAGCCATGAATCCTCCTCTTTTTGGATGGGTATCGATCATTCTGGCGAGCACCTCTGCCCCTGTTAGGTGTATCCTAAGTATACCACACCCTAAGTGCCTTTCTGCAGTGCCAATGGACAGAATCAGGGTCTGTGCCACAAGACAGAGCAAGAACCCAGGCACCACACAGAGAACAATGATCAACATCATCTTCCTCTACCTGAGGACGGGCACCTGTCAGAGGAGACAGGCCTCGCTCAACCACCAACATTCCAAATGATACAGCAGAATTTAAACCTCCCAAATGATCCAGCATAAATCCCCAAAATCCTGCTCCTCTTGTGTGTGGCAGCTGGGAGGGAAAGGGTCCCTCACGGCAGTCGATGTTGGATTCTGCCACCTGGATTCTCTCTGTGCTGATGGGGCATCCATGGACATGTCACATTTTTCATGTTGGAAATTCGGGGTCTGTTGTGCCCTTTCTGAACCCTGGATTGCTCCACCAAAGCATCTCTTGAAAGAGCCACACCCAGAGAGTTTTAGGTGTATAAATTCAGAGAGATTAATAGGATCATCTTTTGTCCTCAAATTGCTCATCAGTATTGGTCCTTCCCTAACATCTGCCACATATGCAATTCCAGCAGCAAAAATTAAGCAATAGTTTGGTTTTTCTCCTGATCCCTTTCTGGGACTGTGTTCGGAGCCAGAGGCAATCCATCTTCCTGATAGGAGGTTAATTAGTCTGTGGTATAAACCTGTGCATGCATCATTTTGTGGAAGGTGATGTTGCATCGTGGTACCACGTTCAGTGGATCTGTAAGGTGTGGTGTTGGACACGGGAATCCATATTTGCAGAGGGCTGTCCGTGCTCTGTGGCCCCTCAGCCTCCTTGCTGAAGCCTTCTGTTTTGCTCCAGGGTGATGCTTCCAAGTCTGATTCCGAGGGGGATCTCTTCCCCCACAGCCTGGAAGAGGAGGGAGAACTTAAGAAAAACTTGTCAAATCCAGCCTGTGAGTAATAACCCTGGGAGGACAGGCCATTCCAAAGAAACCTTGCTTTGCTGTGAAAACAGTGTATCCAAAAGGAAAAACCCCTCCTGGAGGGAATGCTGTAGTCCCATTTGTGTCATGCTTGACTTTGCAGCAGGCTTGGGGTGGGATTGTGGGATGCAGACAGGGAGAGACATGATTGCATCTGAACTGTTAATTTCCCCATCAAGTCCAAGGTCTGGGCTTGTGGGGTGTCTCTTCTGGAGGAGTTTGGAGAAAGGATAGAGGGAGCAGGCAGGAAGTTCCCAGGGCTGGAGCTGGTGGATATTAATTGGAGGTTGAGGGGGCAGCAGGTGACATTTTGGGTGTGCTGTCCTCTACCTGATCCCATTAACACCTGATCCCATTCCTATTTGACGTCTCCCTGCTGGGCTGAACAACCCAATTCTCCAGAAGAGCTTTTGTGGCCCACATCCCCCTGATGCTCAGAGCAGAGCCTTCCCTGCGCAGCAGCTTTGCCTCGCCACGAGCAGTCTGTAGATGTTCCCCCTTGAGGTGTGACTCCTAAAAACCCTCTTGTGTCTTCCAGTGATGGCCCTGAGCGAGCACCCGGAGCTGAAGAAGAGCCTGACCCCTCCGCTCATCATCCATACGGCCGCCACTCCCATGCCCATGCCCAAGAGCGCCGTGTTCGGGGACACGCCGCAGGGCCACGAGTCCCGCCGGGCCAGCGGCGCCTCCGTGGATCCCGTGGCCACCTACGAGCTCAAGTCCCCGGTACTGGCATCACCTCCCCGTGCGGCGTGTCCGTGGGGCTGTCCGTCCAGTGTGTAGGGCGCACTGCCTGCTCCTGGACGGTGTAGATGAATGGAGATGAGAGATCTCTGCGGGCTGCTCTTGGGGAATGAGGTTTATTAGGGATGGAGAAAGGTCCTGCCTCGAGCTGCCAGATGCAGCGTGTGGCAAGGCTTGAGAGTGTGGGGGACAGGAGAAGCAAAAGGATGCTCTAGGAGAGGGGAAGGTCCAAGAGGAGGGGAAGTTCCAAGAGGCCGTGTGGCCCCTTGGAACCCCTTATCAAGGGGGCTTCAAGGTGGGCTGGAACAAGGCTTGGGCCAATGGGGTTACAGGCACTTGATGTTTTAGGGGAGGGATACAGGTGCAGGGTGAATCATACATTTTAGGGGGTGAGATGGAACAGTCCACTTGACCCCTGGACCCATCCGTAGGCAAGGGCATTGTCCAGCTAGCAGGGAGGGCTGTTCTCATCCTGACTGTATTATTTATGAATAATTACATTTATCTATCCTCTCCAGCAATTCCCCCGTTCTGTTAAACCATCTGAAACGCCCAGCCGGGCTGGGGCGGGCGGTGGCACAGACCTGACGCGCTCCCTGTCGCTGTCCTCCCCGCAGCCCAGCGCCCGCAGCTCCCCGCACAGCCCCTGGCGCGCCGGCGGCTCCTGGAACAGCCGCCGCTCCAGCTGGAACAGCATCGGCCGAGCCCCCAGCCTCAAGCGCCGCGGGCAGAGCGGCGAGCGCAGGTCCCTGCTGTCCGGGGAGGGCCAGGAGAGCTCGGAGGAAGGGGACAGCTCGGATGAGGAGCGCTCCAGCCGCGCCGGCAGCTTCAACGGCTCGCTGCCTCAGCGCATGGAGTCGCTGGAGACAAAAGGCTCCTTTGACCTCCAGGATACGCTGCAGGTGCCGTCCCTGTATCGGACCAGCAGCATGCACAGCGCCAGGACGTCTGTCTCCGAGCACCAGGACTGCAATGGGAGGACCTCTCCGGGCCTGCTGCTGCACCAGCTCCACCTGGATGAGCCCCACCAGGACGGCGATGATGGTGATGATGAAGGTAGCATGGTAAGGAAGTGGCATGTGCTCATTTTGGGCTTTGCGACCTGTCAAAACAAAGCTTGTCACTGTCTCAGGAGTGCACAAGTGGGTGCAGAAGGGGTTAGGTCTCACCATCACCACCAGACCAGAGTCACCCAGAAGGTCTCTAGGTAGTGGATGCTCTCAGAAATGGGATTGGTATCCAAGCAAGTATTACATGCAGTATCAGATTGGTCATGATGGAGACAGCTAAATCAGATGGAATGAAGGCTATTGGAAATATATGCTTTTATTGGTTCATTTTTTTCTTCGGTTTTTTTAAATGCAAAACTACTAAGTCTCTCTGCTTTCCAACTATTATTCAGTTTTCTGCCCCCCACACCACCAGCAGAAAACTTCTATAGGCAAAGAAAGGGCATTGGTCCCCCATTCCCATGACATTAGTCCCATGGAGATGGTGGTAATTTCAGAGGCTCTGCATTAATTTCCATCTGAAGAGGCATTTCACTGACAAGTGTTTCTTTCACAGGCCTGAAAAGTGTCATTTAGGAAATATAAGCTGAAAATACTGCAAGTGCAGGGAAGGGATGAGGGTTCCTGGTCCTTTGTTTCAGATGGATGTTTGTATCTTAAATGGTAAAAAGGGGAATCTGACTGCTTTTCCAAAGTTGTTTGCGTGACTGGCAGAGTGGGGCTTGAGTTGGGTACAAGGGTGTCACAGTTCTGGTGTGCATTGAGGCCAGTTTTGGAGTGTTTCCTGCTTGTCCCAGGTTATCTCTTTCTTTGAGTATACCTTATTCCCAGATTTAAACGTGTGATGGTCTGATGTGTCATCCCCAGGGGTGACTGTTTCTCTTGGGGCAGTAGATGGGGTTTGGGTAGAGACATGTGATGGTAGCAGGGGCTGTTCTGAGAACAGGAAAGCTGCAGATTGTGGACGTGATTTTACTCTTTTTCACTGACTTTATTGAATGAAAATAGAATTGGGATCATGTGAAGGGGTGTGAAAGGTGGCTCTCTGTTCCTTACTGGAGGAGAAGGAGAGTTAGTGCTGGCAGAATGGAGTCACTCAGCCATGAACTGCCTTTGCAAAAAGCCATTACCCCATTACATCTCCAGCATAGATCCTCAGCCTGGGATTTTTACTCATTGTCTTAACGTGCTTTTTAATTTCCATAAAATAAATTGAATTTTTATGAAAAGGAGCAGTAATTATTTTTGGAAAAAGTCCCCACTATTAGAAGTGTTGAAGAGACCATGGTCTTTATTGCTGGCTAGGGATTTTTTTTCTCATGCTCCAACATCTGCTACTTTTCCAGCTCACATGGTCCAATCATCCCACCAGTCCTTTCCTTTTCCCCACCAGGATCAAAAGCCAGCAGTCCCCCTTGTGCTGGGCATGGTGTGACGAGATGTGCCCCTCCATGAACTGTTGGACAAGATTTTTAATTTTTATCATCTGCTTTTAGCATAAACCAAACATCATCCTCTGTATTATGAAGTCTGGCCATGAAGGGTGTAATCACCTTAATACCCTCCCATGTAATGATCAGAAGCAAATGCCAAGGGGAAGAATTGACAGAATTGGGGAAATAAATTGTGTCCTAGCCCATAGGATAGCCACAGCTGGGATACCTGCAGCTTGCTGGTGCCTTTCCCCATGCTCTGAAATATCTCTTCCCTGCAAATCAGTAAACCAGATAGATAAGAAGATATTGCTACATTAGAAAAATGAGCCTCCAGGCTGCAGGGCTTCCCTGCTGACATTTGGGGGGAAACTCTGCTCCTAAATTAGCCTTGACAAAGTTAGGGGGGGTGGGGGGAGAATTGCATTTTAAATTGGAAAAATGAAATACAAAACTACCCATCAACAAAAGAAGAGAAGAACTTGACTATTACTCAGATCAAAGTAATCCTAAATATGCTTTTCTGCATCAAAGCTTTGCATCCCTCCTTGCTGCCTGGATTTGATTGTCTCTGTGCAGAAATCAAAGGAAGAGCAAAGGCTTCATCTGGATTTCCCAGGCTACCCTTATATTAGTGCAGCACTTATATTAGTGTTGCCTTAGATTAATTTCTTTATTTCTTCAATTATTTTCTTTATTCTGAATTTCCATCCCTCTTAAGGGCCAGAATCAGGCCCCTGACAGCTTCTCCCCAGAACTAGGAAACCAGGGGGCTGAAATCTGTTCTTATTGCATCACTGCAGACAAGAAGTCTCTCACAGAGAGTGACCCACAGCTTTCTTGGGTTCACGTGGCTGTGGCCAGGATCAGGGATCTGCTGCCAGGTCTTGATTGTTTCCAACTGCTGGATTTTAGATGGTTTTGATGCTTTCTGCCCAAATTGCTCAGTGCTTACAGCAGAAAGTAAGGAAAATATTGAATATACAACCAATGTGTCCCCTCCTCCCCAAAACCTCACTGCATTTTACTATTGCAGCTCCTTTTCCTTTGCCTGTTCCACTTTTTCTCTGTGGCGTATGGTCCAGCCACTCCCAAACCCTCTCAGCCCATCCCTGTTGCATATTAAAATTAAATAACCAGGTCTCAAGCATCTCTGTGCAGTTTCCAGCTTGCCTGGAGGTCCTCTACCACTCACAGAGCGTTTTTCAGCAGTTCCCCCATCCTTATAATAAATCTTTTATAAATCTAAGCCTCTTCCTTACTCTGAGGAGTTCATCAGTCATGTTTTATTGCCAGCTGCCTTCATCCTACCCTCAGAAGTGCTTTAATATCTGAAATTCCTAAAAATAATAATTATAATAATTTTAAAGCAGGTATTTATTATCAGCTCTCATTGCTGTGGGATTGAGGGGCTTCATTCCCACTGCTGCCTGTGAGCACCCAGCATCTTCCCACGTCCTGCTGCCTCTGGTGAGAGATTTAGGTGGGCTTACCCAGGGAGATTTTGTCCAAGTCACTGGCAACTGAATTAAAAAGATTAGTTTTCTTTTCCCCCCACATCTTTGTTCATCCTGTCCAGGTGTGGTTTATGAAGAAATAGATGTGATTTAAGCCACATAATTGATATTTTACTTTGAAGATAATGCAGGCTTAAGAGCAATCAGCCCCATTGTCAGCACTTGGAGCCTGCCTCCACCTCGCTGGGAAAGCCTTGGACAGGCTGGGGCTGGAAACACTCAGGGCTTATTTCACAAATACCTTACTTTTGGCTCATGTTAACTGAACTATGCTGTTCCACTGGTGGAAATATGGAGTAATTCCTCTGAGTTTAGGTTTCTGGGGATGTACTTTGCCTGCTTAGAGCAGCTGGGCTGCAGCCTCAGTTGAGTCCTGGTGCTCACCCTTACTGTAACCCAATAAATAGAGAGACACTATGGGAAATCACTTTTTGCCTTTGTTATCTGATTTAGTCCATGATCTGCAAGCTGCAACAATTAGCCAAACCCCAAAATATCTTCGGCATTAAAATTGGACAAAAGGAATATAAAGAATCATTCTGTGCTGCTGACGCATTACCATTCACTACAAATCCCCTTGATAAATACCAGAACTGCTTTGAATAATAGATACTTCTGGAAACCTTCCAGCTCACAAAATGAGCTGGACTGAGTCGTAGCTATTACTCCATGTCCAGAGGCTGGGGTAGCAATCACTGCTCTCACCACAGCTTTGAGCAGACACCTGATTTTTATCCATTTATTTATCTTTTTTAAATCTATGGATAATTAGACTAACCAGGCTGCTTGAAGGGATAACACAACCCCAAGGATGCATGCTCTATTAAATACAGTTTAGAGAGAAGGGAGCAGTTCTGGCTCTTTGCCTGAAGCTGGAAAAGGGATGGGAGAACATTCAAAACAACCAAAACCCCACTGGTGTGCAGTGCATGGTCTGTTTGTGTAGAAATTGAGGGAAGAATGGGTGGCTGAAGGAGCAGGATAGAAAGCTCTAACTTTTCATTTTGTTATTCAAACTTTTCTTCTTATTTGCCAAGGTGATTTTCACTTTCTGAAGGGTTCAGGTTGTCACCAAGGGCTTTCATTAAAACAAGCACTACACCAATGATTCCCTATCACTAATGAGACCCCAGTCTGGGTGTCTGGAGGAAGAGAAAGGACTTCCTCCACTCCACTCAATTACTCTAACAAATCCCATTTTTACAGTCCAGAGTACTTCAAGTGCTAACAGTTTGCCTCAAAATGAATCCTCCCTCCCTGTTTCCTAGTTGAAATAAATAAAAGTGCCTTAGTCCTGGAGTGTGTGTTCTCCTGGGGTGAGAGTGATTCCTGCACTGTTCTTCACACCCCTCACGACCCTGAAATCTTTAGAAGAAGCTTCAAAAAGCTCATGCAGTCATATTTCCATGTCTGCCCATCAAAGCACATGTGATAGCAGAGAAATAAGGCTTAGGAAAGAGCAAATACTGGTTTTTATTTATCTGCAGAACACTCTGGAGACAGTGCACACACTGGTCTGTGCATTTATCTTCTGGTGCCTTGATGGGGAAGGGCTGGGGAAGCCCTGGTGTGGTGGGCAAGATGTTGGCCTGGCTTTTAATGGTTGTCCATGCACAGGGTGCTAACACTGCATTGCCAGTGGGATCAAAGAGCTTAGATTTTCCTTTGGAGGTCTACAGATGAGAAGGTGATAAACTTAAATCAGAAGTTTTTGCAGCAAGGATGAGGCTTCCCCTTGGCATCCAATTTTTGATGTCTGGTTGACTTGTTGAATCAGGCCTTTGCAGTCTGCCCTGCTGACCTGAAATGACCTTGCAGACAGCCTGTAACATAAGGATGCATGGCTGAGGATGTGCTGTGGTTTCAAGTAGGAATTAATTTGCATGAATTGGATGGCTCATGTTCATGCAGGTCAGGCTGTCCATGGTGTTCCCTTCTGGCTTTATAATCTCCCATCTAATCTGTTCATGCTGAATGAGAGGCAGATGATCACCATTGTGTTCCTGGACCAAAACTTGGGCCTCAAATTATTTCTTCAGCTTTACAGGGGTGCATGGACACAGGGCTTGGCCCAGCAAACAGCAGGAATCCCTCCCTCTGCTCCCTTTATAACCTCTGACATAAGCATTCTATATTATTTTTGAGAAATCAAACAAAAATATCCCACAAAAATTCCCCAAAATATCTTAGAAGATACAGGCAAGCACCTGATGAGTATTTGGAGGCACTGAGTGGGTTGTCATTCATTTGGGCCAGGGTTTTATTTATCATGTTTGTCCTCTTGGATAACTGTGTCAGATGCAGTTACCATGCAGGGAAAGGAGCATGACTGAGCACTGTGAGCTCACAGGGCTGGCACAACCCTCACCTGGGTACCAGAGCTCTTCAGCAGGGTCTTGTTTGGGGACATTATTTTATTTCATCTCTACTGAGCACTTGAAGATAAGTTTTTAGTGAAAAGCTGCCCCATGTCCTTCACGTGGAAGTTCTGGGGGGTTGTTGTTGTAACAGGTCTGTGTTTTCCTCCCTCTCTGTCCATTTTCCCTCCAGAGCAAGAGGGACCGTGTGAAGGCCTGGCTGCGGGCACGGCTCCCCACCTGCTGCACAGAGAGGGACTCCTGGTCCATCTACATCTTCGCCCCTCACTCCAGGTAAGGCAGGGCACTCGGCAGTGCTGCTGTGGGAGGATGGATGGTGACAATGCATGCCCTCCTTGCAGTGGCTCAGCTGCCTGTTTGTCCCAGTGTGTCAGTCGACACAACTCCCAGCCCTTCCTCTGCCCCAGCATGATGCCAGGGTAGAATAGCAAACAGCTGCAGAGGGCACAGGACTGTCCAGTCAAGACCCATAGCCCAGGGCATAGCTGCAGCTTCATCAGGTTCCTCATTTCCTTTGGCAAAGATGCCAGTGCTCACAAGTTATTTGGTGGAGGGTGATGAGCTTGGAGCAAGGGGGAGAGGTGCAGCATCAAGCAGAAAAATCTGAATTTGCCCCACCACACACTTACAGCACAGCAAAGGACTCCTTGATCTTCTCAACTGAATTCTTTTCCTCCCCCTTCCCTTTCTCTCAGAGAAGACCCTCTCCTTGCTTGAAGGCCCCCAAAGCCTGGCCATGGGGAGCCAGCTGAGCTCTGTGCTGTTCAGTGCATTCCTCCAGACACGCATCCACGCACCCGGGGGTTTTCCATGTTGGAGCTGAGAGCCCTGGACAGCGTTCAGGTTCATTCATACAAAGATTAGAGAGATTTTCAGAAACAGACTTTGGGAAATGTAATACGGTATTATAAATCCTGGGTCAGTGTACAGCCATCTGTCACAATAAATAGCTTCTGCCCCTTGGTTTCGTGTGTGCTCAACCCTCATGGGCTCACTGTGTGTGTTTCTTTCTTTATTTAAGCTAAACCTGAGCACCAGGAGCCAGGTAGAGGGGCAGATCCAGAACTGTCCGTGTGTCGGAGTCATGGAAGCCGCTGCCTCTTCCAAATGACCAAAGCCCCCTGTGAACATTCCCAGGGCTTGAAATGTGTGGCTCAGTTCCGTAGATCAGATCCCTTTCTGTTCATAACCCAATCTGCCCTCAGTGTGCAGCTCTGCCAGGGAGGGGATTGGGAGGCTGGAGCTCATCTGCTTTGCAAGCAGAGTGCTCAATTCCCCTGCTATGCACTGAGCTGCTGTGTGCCTCCTCAGCCAGTTGAGCATTAATAGCTAGTCTGTGTCTACTCTTTTTTTTTTTTTTTTCCTCTCAACAGATTCCGTCTGATGTGCAATAAAATCATCACTCACAAGATGTTCGATCACGTCGTCTTGGTGATCATTTTCCTGAACTGCATTACCATTGCTATGGAACGACCCAAAATTGAGCCTCACAGCGCTGTGAGTTTTTGAGGTTTTCCTGTGCTCCTCGTGGAGCAAGCACGTGTGGCATGGACCCCAATGCCGTGCACTCGGTCTTTTTTTCTTTCTCTTTTTAAAATGGGAAGGTGCCAACACCCCCTGACTTTCCTTTGAATTAGGTGCAGCAACTCTCCTGGCCCCTATCCAGTCTCCTTTTAAAGCACAAGTGCACAGATCGTGGCCTGCAAGATATCCAATATCTCATTTCTGGAAGCACAATCAAGGTTTTAACACATGACATAGCATGACATCTGTCTCAGTTTCCTTCCCTCAGAAACCTTCAAACACTTTTCCTCTTTCAACACAATGTTCACTTCTTCCATCTGTTCCCCACAGGCACGTATGTGTGGTGCAAATGGAATGGGGGAAACTGTTCATTTCATACTCTTCTCTCCCCTTTGTGTATCAGCTTTGTTGTGACACTAGAAAAACTGAATTAATGCAGGCACTGCAATGCCAGTTCTTGGAACCTCTTTGTTGTAATACACTATATAAGGATTCCTCACACTAGACCCTCACAGCCCCAGCATCCAGCAATCAGAGGGGCAGAATCATCGTATTGCTCTTTTAATTTACCATAGACTGGGGCTGAGATGTGCTGGGCTCTTGCTGATTTATCACTCAAGACTGCTCATATCACAATTGTATAGAATCCTGTTTATGTAGGCGTGTCAGGCTGTTCATTTTTGTGGATTTTCAATGTAAGACCTTAAAACTGGAGTCTAGGCTGCTCTCTGCCTATTTTTAAGCATTCCCTAGTAGTCCCTCTTACTGTAACAGTTTGCCCAGCAGTCCTTTCCCTAAATCAATTTTTTTTTCAGTTCCCTTGCAGTCGTGCACCGACTCGCAGCTGCAAGAAGAAAGCAGGGCTCCCTGCCAGCTGATGTAGCAGGAGGTGATCATCCTGCTTATCCCCAAATGGGGCACCCTGAGAACCTCCCTTAAAATGATAATTGCTTCCTTTGAGCCCCTTGCTATGTCCTCTGGGAGTTCCCACTCCCCAAGACTGGCTCCAAAAGGAGCTGCAGGTACACAGAGAAGGGAAATGGGGTGACGTGTGTGAATTGGAGGAGCCCTCAGCAAAGAGCTGTAGAACAAAAATCCGATATTTCATGTAGGAGAGGAGGAGCTGTGGTGTTCCCCCGGCACTGGGAGAGGGCTAAAGGAAAGGAGATGGGCTGGTGTGAGGTTCATCACCATTAGATTATACCAAGGGAGCTGAACTATGGCCTGGGAGCTGCAGAGGAGAAGGGGAATGCTGAGCAGTGGGGCAGGGGATCCAGGAGGAGTGCATGGGCCCTGCCTGTGCAGGTGGAGCTCTCATCTGGAAACCGAGAGAGTTAGTTTAGGTTGAATTGTTTAAAATCATTGTTCTTTGCTTCCCTGAGCTGTGGATTTTCTAACTGCTTCAAGTGAGTTCTCTGTCCCTGTCCCAGTTTCAGCTGGCTTATCAGAAGAGGGGCTGTTGTTGCCAGCCAGCATGCACTCCCCACTGCAGAGTGCATGACATGGACCGGGGAGATTATCCTTCAAAACAGCCACATGCTTGCCAGGCAGGAATGCAATATCCTCAGTCTCACCTCCATGCTGTTGCTGTTTTATCTCCAGCTGCACAAGCAGGTCCCCATCCTCTCCCTGCTGCCCAGTGCTTGCCCCTTACAGCAGCCTTTGTGTGGCAGCCAGCTAACAACGGAGATGTTTCCTATCACAACTCATGCAATCACAGCACAAGTCTAGGACCTAATTCATTATGGACCATGTATGGAAACAAGCTACTCTGTGGTTCCTGAGTCACTTCCAGTAAATAATGATCTGGCAAGCAAGAGAGTTGCCAAGGTGTTTTTTCTTGTTTAAATTGCATCTCATTTTGAGTAAGAGATCAGCGTCTCTTATGGGACTGCTCTGTAGGAAGAGGCAGAAATAAATCCAAAACTGTTAAAAGCAGGACTGGGGCCAATTGTATGTGCTCATACATACATGTACACACATCGTTGTTCCTCCATCATCTGCCTTCTGCTGTCCATTTCTCAGTGCAGGGAATCAGAAGCTGTCTAGGGATTAGGGTAATTTATTTAATAATCATCATTTAAAAGAAAGGTTTCTGCTAACTATGGATAGGGAACCAGTCCTTGGGCTCACCTGTAATCACTAGCAGTTCTTGCTGAGTGGTGGTGCTGAGGAAGGTACAGTCTAGTGGATAGTGCAGGGGACTGGGAAATGAGGCTGTTGGGCTTCACACCAGGTCTAGACTGTGGCTTTGGCAACAGAATTGACCTTTTGGGGGCAGATCTCAGCTGGCATAAAGCCCCAGAGCTTTGCTGCCTTTGCTGGAGCTGTGATAACACATGCCAGCTGTGCTTCAGCATCCCACAAGTCCTGCTGCCTCGCAGCTCTGTCACTAATATTGACTTAATTTCTAGGAGAATTGGGAGCTCAGTGATATTTACACAATCCAGTGATTTCTGCAGGGGAAAGGCAGGTAGAGATTTGTCAAGAATGTTTCAATCTCCCTATTTCCTCTATGAGGGGGAGGATGATTTGGGGGAAATTAGGGAGGATTTGCAGGCAAATGGGAAGGTTTGGGGGGGAGGTGCTGGCAGTTGTTCCTGTCCATGGTGCTGACACTGAGCCGGGCACTGGCAGGGCTGAACCATGCAGTTACTGTCTAAATATTTGGATTTTCTCCTCTTTGCGAGCAAACAGTCCAAGGCTTGTTTCAGCACAGAATTGGAAGAACAGTTTTCAAGCACCCAAATATGCACGGGGGGATGCACAGCTGCAGAGAGCAGGCTATAAAACATTGTCTCTCATTTTCTTTTTCATAGGAACGGATTTTCCTAACACTCTCCAACTACATCTTTACAGTCATCTTCCTGACTGAGATGACAGTTAAGGTAAACGCAGGTGGAGGATAAGTGTGCCTGTATTATATTAGTTGTTTTTAATTATGGTGGACTCACAAATCCCTTAGGTCCACCAGCTGCAGTTGAGGTGTGTATATTTTCCTCTGCTGAATCATACTCAGAATGCCCGCCATGTGCCTTATTCCAAGCACGTTTTGCATTAGAACAATTTCACTGAAGTTGCTCTTGATTTACACCATTATAGGAGCAATGGGATCCTTGAATGCAGCAATCCTGTCCTATTCAGCAAAGCTCTTGAGTACATGCTTAACTTCAACCATGCATGTAAGTCCCATTGTCTTCAACAACCAGTTGTCCTCAACAACCTAAGCTGCTGTGTGCTTTCCTGAGGACTGAGACTTAAGCACGTTGAAACACTTTGCTGGATTTGAGGCAGAAGGCTCAGAAACCCATGGCTTTAAATCTCTCCTGAGTAATTCATAATCATCTCACTGAACAATTGCTCTTTCTTTGGAAAGTTTTTCTAATTTCTTTATTTGCAAAGCTTGTACACGATTGCTTGGATCAGCCACTCTGCACCTTCTCTCCCGCAGTCTATAGGAATAAAATGTGATCAATTTTTTTTCATGCCAAAGCTAAAAATGTTAGGAACAGTTTTGTGCAGGTAGGTTTTTCTGCATTCAAAGTACATCAGCTGTAAGGGACAACCTGGGGTGTTTCTGCAGCAATATTTCCGTAATTCTTTCAATAGAACACTTTGCTGGTTTGTTTAATTAGGTTTCTGTACTGGGAAGCAAACAGACTCACAGACTGGTGTCTGTAAATAATGCGTTCTCGGCAGGTTGCTAACTGCAACAAACATGTTGGATGCTGCAGTCATAATTTGTTGCAACTTGGTGTCTGGGCAGGTGGTGGCACTAGGCTTGTGTTTTGGGGAGAAAGCCTACTTGAAGAGCAGCTGGAATGTGCTGGACGGGGTGCTGGTGCTCATCTCCGTCATTGACATCCTGGTCTCGATGGTGTCCGACAGCGGCACGAAAATCCTGGGAATGCTGCGGGTCCTGAGGCTCCTGAGGACACTGCGGCCCTTGAGGTAAGTAGAGGCAGGGGAAGATCCAAGGATGTGTGTGCCAAAGGTAGGGCTGAGCATTCCTGCAAGGGAAGCAAAGCACCTGTGACCAGCGTCCCCCCAGCCTCCTGCAGCCCGCCGGTCCTGCGGAGCTGCCGCAGCCCTGGGCCCTTGCTGTGTTTCGGGACCAGCCCCAAATGCAATAGGAAGCTGATCAATGCTTCTTTTGCTCATTAAAACACACATCCCCTGCTATTTGTGTTCTCATTTGCTCTGTGCAAAGTGCAGCTTAACAGCTTCTTCTCCCCCTCTCCTTCAGGCAGTCAATGACTTTCATAACAAAGAAGGAAATTAGTAGCAGGTGGTAGATCATTTTTAAGGAAGCAGAGACTCAACTGTTGCTTAACCTAGAATGCAAAGAAGCTTTTTTCCCCAGCTCTCCATTAATTTTAGAGAGACATTTACTTTGAAAATGACCCAGACAAGATGAAAACAATTGTTCTACTAACTTGGCCCCCCAACTCTGCCAGCAGGCAGGATCCCATGCTCCAGGGACAGGCTCCACTCCGATAAGAGCCTGCCCAAGGACCAACCTCTTATAAACAGGCATCTGTTTGTGACCTGTACCCCAGGGCAAGAAGGTTTCTCTTCATGCTGAATGCAGTTCCTCTTTAATACCATTGTTGCTGCCCCTGTTGTGCAGCAGCTAATAAACCTTCCTGCTCAAAGCATCTTTGTGTGCCTGACATATCTCACTGCTGCTTCCTCCATAAAAAGGTTTGCTTTGAATCAGGATTTTTCTCTTTCAGAACAGAAAAATAGGACCCTGCTTCTGATAGAAGATGTTGTTTTACTACCCCGTGTGAATAATAAGTCTTAATAACAATGACCATGCCTTTACATATCTTCCAAATATTCTCAACAGCTATGAAGGACATTCAGTTCAATTGGTCTGTAAATGTGTGTTGTACATATCCAGCATGTGAGTTTTAGGATGTGAGCTGCTTTTAATCATTTTTATCTGGTCAGCTGGCACCATTGGGTAGTTCAGCTCCCTCACCATGTAAGTAGACTGCATTCCTATGTGACTCCAATTCAGGCTCTTCTCTCTTTGTGTGTCCCCTGATATCTCATGTCAGCTGCACTTTCTGGGGTAGTTTCTGTGCAATTGCTGGTTGGGTAGATTTGCTTTGCTCCTCTGTTCCTGCTGATTTTTGACCCATGTTAAGAAAACCTATAAAATAATCTAGATGGCTCAGGGTAAAAGAAGGATTGATTTCTCTCTCTGAACTTTGGAATGCAAGTTTCTCTTCTGATGTTCCATAGTTAAATCAGCTTTAAAGAGAGACATATGGGTTGTGCTAATCTCTGCTGGAGTCACCTGTCTGACCTGGTCAAAGCCCTGTATTCTTCTTTATAGATATGTAGGACTGTCTGGCCAGGACTTGGGTCTTTTATAAGTGGAGCCTTCCTTTGTGATCACCTATGTGTGTGAATAATCTGGAGTTGTGGGGAATAATCCACTCAGTAACTGCAGGCTGAGGGAAGACCTGCCATCTGAAGCATGGGTGGGATTAGGCTCTTCTATTGCTGTTGCATTCCTATTGGTATTTGATTTGTTTTCTCAAGAGATTTAAGTGCATGTGTTCAGCCAACATGTTGCTTTCTACTACAAAGGAAACATAAAAAAAGACAGCAACAAGCCCATTCCCTAAATATGTTCAGAATCAGTTCTGTTCTCCCATTATTAGATTTGTAGGAAAAGAAAAAGCAGCCATCAAACTGAGGTCATTTCAGTAAAGGATAAATCTCTGCCCGTGGAAGCCCATCTGCCTCTGTGCCACACATCTGGGCTGCCCTGAGCAGCCTCTGCTCACAGCTGCCCAGCTGCCTTTGAGCAGCTCGGGGCTCACGTCCCCCTGCACAGCCTGGCACGTGCAGTGACAGCACGGGGACAGCTGGGACAGGTGACCCGAGGTCTCTGCCCGCTGTGGCAGCAGTTGCCATGTCTGGTGAAGTGTCTCATGGAGCTGAGCCAGTTTCTCTTCAGGAAGGAAAAGGCAGAGACTAAAGCCAATGATTCTCTCCCAGAGGACCAAAGCTGACTCCTTCTGTGCTCCCTTTCTGGGGACCCTCCAGGACAGGACTGCAGCAGGACAGCCAGAGAGGAGCCAAGCCACAGCTCTGTGTGTCACACTCAGCTCGAGGCCAGAGACAACCCTCGTGCTCTGCGTTGGCTTTCCCAATGGATGGCCTCCAAGGGGGATTCTTGCAAAAGATCTCCCTCATTCTGTCTCTGATTTTCTCCCGTGGAAACCACCTCATTGATTTATGCAGCACACAAAACCCCACATGCTTCTGCCCTCTGCCCAGACATTAAAAGAACTGTATGCCAATCGCAGGGCTTTGATTGCATGATTAATTATCAGCCTCCAAATTGAATCCATGAAGATTCAAGCCCAGCTTTATGACCAGAATTCCAAAAATAAATTCACAGAGGAATAACATTTAAAGATGTTTCCATGACCCTCTAATGTTTCAGCCAGTAAAGGGATTGCTTATACAATAACATTCCTTCCTAATGCGTTCAATCTGCTATTGTTGGGATCAAGTGTTATAGCTTAAGATTCGAGAAAAATCAAAATTGAAAATGTGTTCAGATTTAATGTGGGTGGACTTTAGGGCTGTTTTACTCTCTACAGAGCCTGGGCTTTGACTTCTAAATCACACAGATAAATTATTCACTTTTATACTATCATGGTCTAATAGTAATTTCATAACTCACTTCTATCTATCATATTATTACCTTTGCTAATTTTCTTTTAATCTGTGGAGGAAGGTCTTCATTAATGTTGATCTGTTGCCTCATCTAAGTGCTGCTACTTCTTCTGAGAGTTCTCATCAGGAAGGTTGAATGTTGGTAATGGATCCAGCTGGGATGAGGCTGGCAGTGGGATAGGAGCATCTCACACCAGGGGTTCAACAGCGTTGGGAATCCTCAGACCAGGAGAACCAGGGGGAATTAGAGGGATTAACATTTCTTTGCACCAAAATAAAGAAGAAAGAATGTCTCATTTCAATTTCCCCGTTTGTCATATGCCTAATGCAGGCTGGAATTGTGCTGAATGGAGCCTTGTCAGGTGTCCTTTTCTTGCACAACTGCAGGGCTCCAAATCGGCTGCATCCTTCAGCCATAAATTGCAGGGATGTAGGTCAGATAATAAGATTTTACAAGCCTAATAGCAGCAGGACATTGGCAATATTGATGAGGTGTGGGGATGCCACATGTTGACATATTGGAGGTGGTACTAATCTGGAAAAGCTGAGAATTTTATTGACACCTCTTAGAGACTTGTCAGACTCTTAGGAGAATATCAGGAATCTTCTCACAGACTTGCCTCAATGTTGGGAGGCCTGAAGGTTTGAAGTTTTGCATTAGCAAGAACTGCTATTTTCCAAAATATTTTCAAAGTCTTTTCTCCCTGTAGTGCTGAAAACAGCACTGGCATGGAGCTAAACTGGTGGCAGCTTTTACCCTAACGCATTTTAATTTGAGGAATTCCCTGGTTGATCAAAAAATGCTTAAAGCAGCCAAATGCTCCTGCTTTTCCACCCTTTTTTCCTCAACATTCACCTGACTTTGCAAATTTAGACAAGTAACCTCCTATTTTCCTTCTCAGCTGGGTGTGAAATAGTACCTCACAGGGGGAATCACTGTTATTTCTAGAACAGCATTTCTTAATAACTGTTGGAGAAAATTATCAGCTTTAAACTCTGGAGACTAAATTCCTTCCTTGTTCCCCAAAATTTAAGGATGCTCCGGTAGTTCAGACCAGAAACCTTCTGTTTATAAAACTTGCCTTTGGTTCCATCCTGCATGACAGTGGACAGAAGTCCATGATCCCTAAAGTCAGAATCCCTAAAGGCACCAAAGGACCTAATTTACACTGAAACAATTGGAATTGAGTTGCCTTCCTACCTCTGGGAATGTGGCTTCCTCCTCCTGTGCCTCAGTTTCCCACCTGTAGTTTGGCAGGCGTTGTGTTTCACCCAGAACTGTGTGAGGAACGTGAGGGGTATGAAGGTCTTTAGTCCATCTGAGGAGCTGGAAGAGATGTTCAGCCTCAGCCTGTGCAGCCCAAGGCTTGCTTTGTGCACTCAGACATTCTGTTAGGCTGCGTTACCCAGCTCATTGAATTGAGCACATGGAGCTGCTCCTCAGCCTCTGTTTGCTGGGCTGAGCTCATGGCAGTGTCAGTGTTCAGGAACACACAGAATCACAGGATATGATTATATACAGATGCTTTTATTGAGAGCTCTGGGAATCAGGGGTACAGACCCAAATCTGACTCAGACACGGCTTTCGAGCTGAACATATTTTATATTCTATCGTTACATAACTCACATATTAATTATTAAACTTATATTGTTCTATTGTATACATTGACATGAGTTTCTCGTGATCTTCCTTAGGCCCCTGACCACAGCTTCTATGATTATTCTTATGATTAAACAGTAATTATATTTAATTACTAAACAATCATCACATCTAACAATTATATCATTTGTCATGTACTAGCTACACAGGTGCAGTTCTAGCAAGGTACAAAGTCTTCATGTACTTAGGGTATTTATTTATCTTTTCAGGGCCTACGAAGCTTAATTTTCCTTTTAACCCTAAATCCCCACGATTTTAAAACCCTTTTGCTATCAGCAGCAGCAGCAAGGTCTCCAGGCTGGACTAATCCCTGTGGGCAGCTTTTCCAGCCCACATTGACCAGTCCCCACACTGCTCATGGGCTGTTCAGCCTTCTGCTCCTTCAGCCATCTCACCCTCCAGCTCCTTCCCTAAAATACCCAGATCTGAGTGTCAGGAAGGCTGAGGCATCTGAAATAGGGAGCCACAGCACCCACCTGGCAGAGATGCTCAGTGTGAGGAATAGAAGCATCTGCTCTTTGTGTTTCACTGGTAAGAGAGCAGATAAAAATACCACCATCTGCTTCCTTTTGAAAGTGATAACTGATGAGTTACCCTTGACATTTTGAGTAAATATTTAACCAGAAAAAAAAAAAAGGAAATAAGCTTTAGCTTTTCAGGATATGATTTAAACCCAACAGTTTTGGTAAAAGCTGGTGGCTGTGCATTGAGCACTGCAGGTCACTCAACTTGCAGGCCCTAGGGCAGGAGAGGGATGGTGCAGGTTGGCTGTGGTCCCAGATGAGGCCACACATCATCAGTGTGGATGTGTCCATGGGGATCTCTGATGTGAGCACCATGCCTGGGAGAGGGCGTGGAGGAGAACTTGGACCCTGTCCAGGCAGCAAAACACCAACAGTGTTCAGGTGGTGGAGCCAGATTTGGGAAGAAATGGGAGAGGTGGTGAGAGGACTCCCATGGCAAAAGAGAGACCCAGGCAGAAACTAGAACTCGGGGAAGTTTGGGACACATTTGAGAGCCAAGTGTTCAAAGGAGTCACAGCAGCACCCAGAAACACACAGTCACTTCTTTCCTCTGACTTTCACAGCATTTAACTGCTTCTGAGTCATGAAAGCAGTTTCTATGGCATCAGTACAAACTGATTTACAGAGCTAGTGAAATCCTTAATTCCAGTTGGCATCAGGAGGAGGGAAGGCATGTAACCTCTTCAAATGCCTTTCTTGGTCCCCACCTTCAGGTCAGTGAGCTGAATATCTTGTTCATCTTTCCCAGCATGCTGAGATGGCATCTCTAAATCACACAAGACTTGTCATTTCTTTGCAACATTAACCTTGAGAGTACAGTACAGTTTCTACTTTTTTTTAGCTTTTTTTCCTTCAGTCATGAAGTCTACATTATGCTTCTTCAACTTTCTGATATCATCTAACGTTCTGTTATGAAATTCTGTGTTAGACCAGACAGAGAGGAGTGATAGAAATTAGGTTAGATGCTTCCAGTCCTGCCAGTGAAGTTTCACCTGTTTTCACTGTTTTAGAGCTGAGGCTGTACAGTAGGTATAAAGCAGAAAATGTGATGGTCTTAGAGGTAGCTCAGGTCTCTGTACACAGCAGCACTATAAGGACACAAAAGATTATTTTTTTTAAGATGAGAGTGCTGAAAACACTGGCACAGGTTGCCCAGAAAGGTGATAGATGCCCCATCCCTGAAAATATCAGGGGCTCTGAGCAACCTGATTGAGGAGGTGTCTCTGCTCATTGCAGGGGGTTGGATTAGATGACCTTTAAAGGTCCCTTCCAATCCAAACTATTCTGTTATTCTGTAATTGCAACAGATGTGCAGACAGATGTGTAAGAGTGGCAGCTCCACTTCATGGACTGAGGCAGGGGAATCAGGTGTCTTGCCTAAATCTGTATAGGAAGGGGCAGTGGGAGGCCCTCTCTTTGTAGTCCTAGACAGGCTACAGGCATGAAAGTCTCTGTCTGTGGATGGCCCAAGCAAAACAGCTGAATTTTCTGGCCTGGCTCCTCATATGTTTTCTCCTCCTCCTCTTTATTTATGCAAAGCTGACCCTTCCCTCCAAGACCTCTGTAACTTTACAAGCCAGTCTTCCAGAAGTGTTTTTTCCAACATGATTTTTGAGTAACTTGTCATTCTAAATAATTTTCTAATGCTATGTTCTTCTATCTTGATAGGAGGCAAAACTGGGCAGGAATAGGACTAACAGCTTTTGTAATTACTTGCCCCTACAGAGTCATTAGTCGAGCCCAAGGACTGAAGCTGGTGGTGGAGACTCTCATGTCATCCTTGAAACCCATTGGGAACATTGTGGTCATCTGCTGTGCCTTTTTCATAATCTTCGGGATCTTGGGAGTTCAGGTGAGTCTTCTGTAAGCCTCAGCCTTAACCTGAAAGTGTAACAAGCCCCAGATTCCCCAGGTCAGGCTGTCTGTACACATGGCACAGTGTAAGGCTTTCTGAACTCCAGCTGATGGCAGGAGGGATGGGATGTCCATGTTCACTCCAGGGAGATGGACAAGGTGACCTATAAAGGTCCCTTTCAATCCAACCCATTTCATGATTCTATGATCTCTCCTCCACCTTTTTTCTAGTTACAAACTGATAGGGAAATAGAAACTCGAAGCTGAAATCAGTGGCTTGTAAACTCCAGAAAGACCTTGAACTGGAGATTCATTCAGATTCTGACAGTTTGTGTAACTGAAAGCTTGCAGAAACAAGATTTCTGAGTCTGTTTCCTGCTGGCTCTGCTGGCAATATTCTCAGTCCTAGGAATGCAGGAACCCAGGGGGAAAGTGGCAGTTTCCAATGCAATTGGTTTCTCATTATCTGGGAAGAAGAGATTGCTTCATATAAATATTCTGACATAACACTTACTTCTTCCTGAAGTTTATCTGATCTGTCACAGCCGTCTTTTGGAAAGCAATTCTATTTGACTTTGTTTTGGAAAGGTGTCTTATATAATATTTTACACTTACATACTGCTTAAATAATAAATACAACATTGAAAATAAACAGGAAAGAAAATCATGCCATCCATTACCACCTCAGCAGCTAGATTGGTTTAGCATTACAGCATAACAGCATCCGTCCATTATATTAAACAGATTCATAAAACTAAGCATATCCCATAAAACAATCTAACACTCATGAGAAAATTTATGTCAGAGTATGCAGTATGATCTTTGAATTTCATCCCTGCTAATTGTGATGCTTTCCCTGGTGACTTGCAGCTTTATGTTAAATTGTCGTGACTATTGATGTGATTCAGTGGTAGATACAAGCAAGACTGATCCTGTATTCAGGATGCAAAATTCTCAGTTAATATTTATGTCTAATTAGGTGTAAGATGAGGCCAGAGCTATTTTCTATAAAAATATGATCTCTCAAACTTACAGTTAGTTTTTCCATTTAAATATAAGCTGGGGATCAAACCAGAGGTTTTTAATCTATTAAAATCCAGACATCAAAGTTTCTAACAGCGTGTCCTCTTAGCAAAACTGTTTTGGTTGTAGAGCTGCCCATGTGTGAATAGTCATTAATAAGATAGAATAAATAGGTGGATAAAGCAAGTCCTGTAAGAAACACTGGGTCTTTTCCTTTCAGAAGTGCCAAACTGTGAAGTACTGACAGGGATCAGTGTTTTTATAAATTGGACTTTGTATTTCCAAACCCTGTCAGGAGCACTGTTACTGCTCGCACCTGAGTGGCATTGCAGTCCAGCTCCTGGAGAAGTTATATTTACAGACAGTATACTAAAACCAGTTATTTACCTTCCTGCTTAATTAAAAATTTTCTCTGTGAGGACTATATCTCCCCAGTCTGCCTTACCACTGATAGTATTTCTCCATGGAAAGATCAGGGAATACTTCTTATATCTAGAAATTCTATGGTTGCATTGAGCAGTGATTAATTTTGCATGCCTAGAGACCATCTTCCTGCTGTTGATTTCTGAAGGAAAACCCATGGAGTAGTGTGTGGATTTATCTTGTTCACTATTATTTCTACTGTTATTTGTCTAGAACAACAGATCAAACCCCATCAGTGTCTCTTCTCAGTATACCCAGGTGTTGTTTTAAGGAAGCTGGAGAGCAGGTTGCCATTTCCCCCCCTTCCCAACAGTAATGTCAATAGCTTCTGTCAGCAAATAAAAGTAGATTTGTTGGTTGTCTCCTGGGATTTGATACCATCCATCCTGCTAGCATCAATCACCCTGTCTGAAGCAGTAATCAGCCCCTGTCACTTTCTGTTCCAAGCACTAGAATTAAGCACGTGGAGGCTCCTGTTCCTCATGCAGGTATAAATCAGGAGCTGACTCTCCAGGAATTGCATCCCCCCCAGGCGTAAACCAAACAAAATAAGCTCAAGATCAGGTACCCAGCACTGGCTGGGCTTAGCTCCTTAAGCTGTGCACCGGGAATAATTTCAGTGACCCTGCAGACTGCAGAGCTTTATGACAGCTGGGGCACAGCCCCCAGAATCAGAGAGCAGAGCAGCACTGACAGCAGTCTTGATTCAGCATGAACATCACCCCAGGAGCTTGTGTCCCCTCAGAAGTGTCCCCTTGTGACCTCTGTGAGCAGAGATTAGTCCCTCACTGGGCCTCTTTGCTGCCACCTCTTCTCTGCTGACAGAGGGCCCCCGTTAGACTTCATTTGTTGTGAACTGGGCTGAGAGTCACCAGAGTTGTTCCATGTGGGATAAGAAGCCATTAGCTGGTCTGGGCTGTTGGCTGGGGCTACACTTGAGCTAACAAGTGTAGGAGCAAAGGCCTTTAAGGGAGTCTCAGATCACTGAACCAGACAGCTTAAAGCATGAGGTGGGTGTCCTAAACGATGTGAAATCATGCATTTGCTCATTAGGTGTGTATTATACAGGCTGCTCACTCTTAATAACCTGTATGAATGAGGTCAGTTCCCTCAACAGCTCTGCTTGGTGTGGGATATGCAGAGAAGCTCAAAGAAATGCCCATCACCTGCACAGAAATTCTGTGGACTGAACCCTGACACTTCCTCTCTTCTTTGCGTGTTTTGCAGCTTTTCAAAGGCAAGTTTTTTGTGTGCCAGGGGGAGGACACCAGAAACATCACAAATAAATCGGATTGTACAGAAGCAAGCTACAAATGGGTCCGGCACAAGTATAATTTTGATAATCTCGGCCAGGTATTAATAGAACGGTAATCTGCTTCTTTGCTCCTTTACCTCCTTGACTTAAAACCTGTGGCTTATTATCCCGTGGGATTTTCTTACAGGGCACTGCCAGCCACAGTAAATATTCAGTTCACATACACAGCACTCTGTCTCTGTAAATCCCAAAGGCAGTGTTTCCAAGCAGGCATACACTTCTTTTCAGAACAGAACAAGCACATGTGGCTTCATGAAGCACTTAATTGCTTCACTGCTACACAACAAACCAAATATATCTTGCAGAAGGGCTTGTCTAATAGAGCTGGACATTTTCAGCCATCTCTGCAACGCAGCCTTTTTTTAGCAGTGTGGTAAGAACTAATTAGTTGGGAGCAGTAGAGACCCAGAGGGTGGAAATGAAGCTGCTTTTGTCTCCAGCACTGTGGTATCCGAATTACTGTTCATTGCTGAACCAGGCATTGGCATTGATTGGTTTTGCTGCCAAGAGAAATCTTGGTCATCAAAGTGTCCCTTTATCAGGCAGGAAATGGCAAGGAGGAGTAAGATATTACAAGTTAAAGAGGTTTAGTGCAATTGTGCCTAACTTTTTTTCCATGCATTTCTAGGCCCTGATGTCTCTCTTTGTCCTGGCCTCCAAGGACGGGTGGGTGGATATCATGTATGATGGCTTGGATGCTGTGGGAGTCGACCAGCAGGTACAGGCTGCAGCAGAGCTGTAACAAATGACTTGTCAAAGGTCACATATTTTAGCTCGTTTTGCATAGTACTGTGGGCTTCCACAGTCAAATGGGGTTATGGGGTTAGGATCCAGGGTGGCATTTAATCCAAGTTGTGAGATGTGATGAGTTCAGTAGAAAGTCTGGATTTGTACTCAACACATTCCCTACAGATTTTGCATCATGACCAGTGTAACTGGTGTTAGGAGAAGTGTGCCTACCAAAGGATGGTTTGACTTTTTAAGCAGTTTGGTCATTTCAGGAGAAAAGAAGTGCTTTGTGTAGGTAGAGATTTGCAATGAGGGACTTACAGTAGCTGCAAAGTATGCTGCTGTCCTTTTTGAATAGAATAGAGGTGGTGCTTCTGTCCTCAACACACATTTTAGGAGCATTCAGTTAAAATGTCTCAGCAAGCTCTAATTTTCAGGAAGAGCAGAGCAGCCTGCCTGAAAGGGCTGTGAGTTCTGTGGATGGCACAGCTGTATCAATTTGTTCCCATTCTTCTTTTTGAGATTCAGTTGAAATTTGCCTTCCTCCACTTTGCAGCCAGTCATGAACTACAATCCATGGATGCTCCTCTACTTCATTTCCTTCTTGCTGATTGTGGCCTTCTTCGTCCTCAACATGTTTGTGGGGGTGGTGGTGGAGAATTTCCACAAGTGTCGGCAGCACCAGGAGGAGGAAGAGGCCAAGAGGCGGGAGGAAAAAAGGCTCCGCCGGCTGGAGAAAAAGAGAAGGAGTAAGGAGAAACAGATGGCTGGTCGGTAGTCTTTCCACATCTTTCTGAGTCCTGCTTGACCTTCCACATAATCCCCTCCTCCCTCCCCTCCCTGCCTCGCGTCTGGTGATAATTCTTCTCCCAAAAGCATGTCCAGCTATCAAATTTGCATGAAGGAAATAGTGTCATTTTAGGCTGAACGAGGAGCCAAGGAAGCTTTTTAATGGCTGCATGATTTGCAATGACCTTTCCATTGGGGGTTATTTAAATTAGAAAATAATAATAATCAGGCCTGGAGCTTCTTGGATAGCAGAGCTCAGTGTTACACAAATAGTGACAACTGCAAAGATCAGTAGTGCTGAATGGCATCATAAATCTCAGTCATGAGCACTGCTGCTGATAACTGGATTCACTATTTGGTTTATTACACTCTTGTAATGCCACAGTGATGTTACCTGTCCCATTTATCAAGCAGGTTTATTTATTGGCACAGTAGCACCACTGCTATTCAAGAATGTAATAAAATAATAGAGCCATCTCATTCTAGTAATGCTTTAAAACTCCATAGAGAAACATATCAATGCATTTGCTTGAGAAATACAGATTAGAAATAAAAAAACAACCAGACAAGGAGAGTAATTAACTATACAAAATAGTGCTGGTGGAAATTGAACCCAACTCCAACTAGATGTGCAAGCGTGCAGCCCTGCCTAGAGGAGGCTCTACAGGTGAAACGAGGAAAGACCCCACTCTGCCAAAAGTCTCCAAACTTATGTTTTTCTCTTAGTCTCTTTTCATTTTAATGTAGTTGAATAATTCAGAAATTTAGTTAGCCACAGCCCACAGGTTGGAAGTGCTCTTCTTGCATGCTGTCTCTTCTGACTGAACTTTCTCCATTGCCCTTCCTGTCCATGGCCTTGCACTTTCTCTCCCTGGTCAGTCCACCTCCTGCTCTCTCCCTGTCCCCTTCCACTTCTCTATCTTTGACAGAATTCAGGACTGTTTAAGAGGATATCTGATTAGGTGCTTGTTCCCAAAGCTGGTGATATTGTCTGTTTTTGTTGTTTTTGGTTTTTTTTAATAGCCTAAGGGGTGTTTAATAGTTGCTGCGGGTTTAATCACAGAACCACGTTACCACGATGCTGCCTCAGCCTCTCTCAGTTCAGCATTTCCCCAACCATTTCCTTTGGTAACATCTTTTAGTCCCATGAGCTTCACACCTTTTGTAACCAACAGGATATGTCACACCAGGCCCTGCCCATCAAACTTAAGTTTATGCTGAGAGCCTGCTTCCCTCACTGGCCAGTGTAAAGTAGGAGGCTTCCCTCAAAAAGACTGTTCTCAGTTAAGTGAGGTTTTTTTGTTGCAGTGTTTTTTGGGTTTTCTTTCCCCCCCTCAAGAAAATGCCTAGAAAGCTCTTTTGCTCAGCTCAAGTTCCCAAGGACAGTTTCAGGCTGATGAGTTAGAAGAGGATTTTAAAGGTTGGATAGAACGATTGCTATTTAAAGCTGCAGTTTTGGAATGCCGACATTTCTGTAGAAGAAAAATAGATGTTTAGGTATTATTAATTACTTTATTTATAATGCTAGAGGAACTAGATGAAGAAAAGATGTAAGTCTGGGCAATTTCCCAGAGGGAAGGAATGACAAACCATCCTTGGAGATACAGTTATTCATTCAGTGCTATGAAATACCTAATTAAAGAGGCAATAAACAGTTACTTTACTGAGGATCAAATATTGCTGAGTATTCAATTGCCATAAAAAGCTTTCAAGAGTAAAGTATGAAGTCCTCCAAATAGCTTCAGAACAGTTTTCCCAATCCATGCTCAGTGAAACATTGGTTTTAATTGACTGTGTCCAGCTTTGCCCTCAGAGGCAACAGATGTCATTGCTTAACTTTGTTCTGCACAGTGGGAACTTGCAGATGAAACCAAGACTGTGACTGGAATTGTGCCAGCAACTGCATGGGGGGTCCTTTCAGCTGGGCTTCCTAAGTGACCCCAGATGCCCAAACCAGCCTAGGGATGTCAGATACAGACAGACATTGACATCTGACTGGTGGCACAGTCATTTTTGGTTGTAGACTCTTCCAATGCATGTATCCAGTCAGGTGTCTGAAAATTGGGGAAGCATTTTGAGGTCTGAGGTGTGGGCAGGTGCAGGAGTGGTCATTGTGAGGTATTGCTGTCCCAGCAGGAGTTGTCCCAGGTCGTCCTTCAGCAGTGCCTTCATCATCGACTGAGGGGCTTCTTGGGGGTATCTTGGGCTTCCTCAAGAGGGAGAAGCACAAGAGCTCTTCTCTTTTCCACCCTCCACGAGGCACAAGGATCCCACAAGGAAACACTCCTGGCAGAGGCAGCGGCGAGCCGCAGGAACCTCCAGAGGGGCTGGGGAGTCTTGCTGTGTGTCCTGCTGGGTGATTAACGCCATTTCGTTCTTTTAGATCTAATGCTGGATGATGCATTAATGGAGAGCTCAGCCAGCGCAGTGCAAGGTACTGAGCAGCTGTCCTGGGTCTGGTTCCTCTGAATGGCAGTGCTGTGTCACTAACGGGCGTCCCACTAAACCATGTGTGTGGTGCAAAGCTCGTTTGCTTCCTCCATGGCACACGCATCCCATCCTGAGCTGCAGGTCTGCAGGCCTGCCTCAGCACTGACACTTGCAAACCCTTAATTTACTCCTCGATCATCTTACGTTATTCAGTATATTTTTTTTCCCCCCCTCTGGTTTTCATTAAGACGCTGTCAGACTTTTCATGGCTTTTTTTTTTCCTTTTTTTTTGTTTTTTTTTTTTTTTTTTTTTTTTTTTTTTTTTTTTTTTTTTTTTTTTTTTTTTTCTGGAGAGAATAATGACTGGACTGTGCAAATGGGTCCTCTACTGTTGACTTTAGCTTTCCAACCACCAGCATAGGAGTCTGAAAAATTTGCAGGTGTGAGTCTTCGGAAATCTTAGGGAGGATAATTCATTATTTCTTCAGCCCTTGCTTATTGCTCCACAAACACTGTGCTCTAGGGAGTAGTTTTTTTCAGCAGGGTAAAATTCAGTATATGGCAGAGCCTCAGTGCTTCAACAGGAACTCAACCTCTCACCAGCCCCCACTGTGGACACAGGATTTAGTCATTGTGCTGCCCAGTGTGTAAATTCTGTGCATTGATTAAGAGTTGCTCAATGCATGAAGTGTCTTGTAAATTAAAAGAAATAAAGGTACCTCCTCAAAGCCTTTCCAGGTGCTGATGGAGATGGACCAGCTGGACTCAACACTAATAGGATCTGAGCTGTTCCTTTTGACCCACTGCTCACTCACACTTCCCTTTCCCAGCCCCCTTCTCAGGGTGATGCTCAGGGCTGCAAATCCATCCCTTGCACTTTTTATTTTTAGGAGAAGCTTTGATCTGAAAAGCATTTTGTTTAATTAATAACTTAAGAATATTAGCCTGAATATTTAAAGAGGCACCAACATAGAAACAAATATAGCTGTAATTTTCGACAAAAAATAATACACTACAAAAATTGTGCCATTAAAACTCTCACCTGAGTACAGGCTGCCACTGCTTGAGATGGGTGCAGGGCTCCATCCATCTCTCTTAGATTGCAGGGAGCTTTGATTAAATAAAAATTGGTTTTCACTGCAGAGATAACTCAAGGAGACAGAGGTTCTACCTTGCATTTCTAAGGCCTTGTTGGAAGTTATCTCAACATGCTTTAATAAATCCTGAATCTCCTTCCCATTGCCACTCCTGATATTTATATTTCTTTGCTGTCTTTCTTGCTGCTCTTGCTGGGCCTCTTGGTCTCTCCTGTGAAATGGGGGCAGCCTGAGGGAGGGGCTCTCACTGGATTTGGTGATCTGGTTATTTTTTCTTCTTTTTGCTTGATTGTGACTCCTCTCCTGGTCCTACAGAGTTGCATCAAGGCTGTCGTATTTTATGTTATTTTTAAGACACTGAACTCATTCCAAACCCCTCCATTATCCCTTGCAGGCTCAGAAAGTCTCTTAGCATTTGCCCCTAAGATGTGTACAATTGTCAGGTCTGTGCTGTGTGTTTCCTTTTGCTGTCTTTCCTTTGGATCCAGTGGTAGTGAATGTGCCATGCTGCTCTGCAGGCACCAACACGAGGAAATAGAAGGTTTTTATTTCTGAACCCAGCTGCTGGGAATTTAGGGAATCAGTGCCTGGGTGCAGTAGATGAACTTCCTGTGGTTCAGTGAGGAATCTGGACTTGTGACCCAAAGCTTGCCCACATCTCAGCACTTTCAGAGGGCGTCTTTTCTCTTTCTGTGAAGACAAGATGATATTGTGTGTGCGTGTGTGTGTGTATGTGTGCTGCTGCCTGGTGTTTGGTGAAATATTTTATAATTTTTTTTCCTTTATTTTTTCTCCAAGTCTACATTCTATCACAACTGGAATCTTCACAGTGGAAATAATTTATCATTTTCCATTTCGCTTTTCTTTTTTTTTTAATAAATCCATTCAGTACAATAAAAGCCAAGTAAAACTCTATGTTTAAATAAGTTCCTTCAGTGCAAACTACTTTTTAACCTAATAATATTCTTGATACACTTTGTAAATCCAGCTGCATCATGGGCTCACTGGTTTGCCGCTGTCCTCCAGATACTCAAACCTGCAAAGGAGTTAATTCCCTTATTATAGGAGAAGGAAGAAGCTGAAGGAGACAGTAATGGAATTGTCCCACTCTTGTGAATTCCAATTTCCCGTGCCCACGCACCTCCAGCTTGAAGTCACCTCGGGGAAAGTGGCAATTTCTCCCTTGACAGGGCTATATTAGGAGGCAAATGCTCCTCAGAGATATTTTGGAGCTGCATGCTCAGCTTGATTCCCCCCCAAAAAATGCAGTCAATGTGAAGAAAGTGGCCCCAGTCCCACTCCCAGCTGTGCTGGCAGAGACCAACCGAGCCCTGGGAGATTCTGGGGGTGGCACTGCCCAGCAAAAACAGGGGTGCCCCCGTGCTGCTCTGCTGGGCACTGGTGGTGTTTCACAGGTGACATCCCACCGCCAGCAGACAAATGCAGTACAGGATTTAGGATTTAGTGCCCCCAACCCAGTCTGGGATCACTGCACCCCAAGGGCACCTGGCCTGGGAAAAGTTAGACAGGGATTAGGAATGGGAAATGTTTATCCTGCAACAGCAATGGTCATTTCCTTTCCAACCAAACAGGAGAGAATGGTGGTGAGCTCCCTTGTCAAGGGGATCAATTATAATCCTGCAGCTTGATGCCAAGAGTTGAGCACTGAAGCCTGGGATACAACCTGAGTTGAGAGCCCATAGAAATGATGAGCTAAAGCCAAGTGCACCCTGGTCCAGGCACCGCTTCCCTTGCCAGCACAGTCGGTCCCCTTGGACCACCAGGATGAAGGTGGGACTTGCTCAGACCACCTCCCAGCTGGCTGCAGCATCCCCTTCTGCCTGGTTAGGAGGAGATCTCTCAGGATCTACTGCCTGAGCCAAGTTTATCCTGGGTAATGATCTCCAGATTTCACCCACTTCCCCCTCTGTCTTGGCCCCCAGCCCTGGTGAAGCAGCTTGATTTACACCTTATTTACCAGCCTGATGTCTCATAGTGGGCTTTTGCTGTATCTCCTCATCTTCTCTCATTCTGCCAATTCCTCTTTGTTGGTTTGCTCTCTGCCTTTCTTTAACACCATATGTGCCTGGAAGCCACATTAATCTTTCCAGTAATAACCAAGACTAACCCAGAGCTCTTGTTGTTCTTGACACAGTGTATTGTAACGGTACAGTAATGTGGTGTTGTGTTAGTTGTGAAGTTCAGCACCCGGAGTTTAACAGATGTCTGTATTTCCCAAGATGTTGGTATTGTTAAGCTCTTTATTGCAATAATAACAAAAGGCACCTGTGTCATAGGAGGCAGGGGCTTTGCACAGGGGGAATTATACCAGATCTATCCCCAAATTCTCTGCAGAGCTCTGCAGGGTTAGGTTAAAGAAATGGTATTTTCACAATGGTAAAAACTGGTTTGTCTGTTCAGAAAGTTCCCTGCCCACCTAGACACAGTGGGGATTTATCCCGAGCCCTCAGGCAGCATGTTAGCCTGTGTGTGGGAGCACCAAGATGCATGGCTGGCATGGGGACACGGGGGTAGTGAGTGGTGACATGATTTGTAAGCATGGGTTGCCAAATCCCCTCTTGACAAAGTTAATGGAGAAGGATGGAACGTTTAGCACTGGGAATTTTCGATGGCTGCAAGGGCATCTGTGAGACCAGCATCCAGAGAGGGTTGGCTGTGGAGACCTGGGTGCTGGGAAAGCAGAACAGGAGATCTGGGAGAGGGGGTGCAAAGGGGAAAAGCCTTTGCAGATATCTGAACAATTAGCAACCCTGCTTATAAGGTCATGCACTGGCTAATCCAGGTGCAGGAGCCCTGCACAGGGAACACTTACAACCTCTCTCTAAATCCTCTCTCTGTTCTAACAGCACTGGTGCTATTCTGTAGGATTTGGAATTACCTGTCAGTCAAAGCAGAGAAAAAAATTGAATTCCAGTGTCATTATTCAAAAGTAAATCCATTGCAGGAAAAGGTAAAAACGTTGACATTTTTCTTTTTGAATGTGAATTATGCATAAATGTAGAAGAAGTAAGTGATCCAATTACGATGGTGTTTCTCTCCGAGATGATAAGTTGGTTCATAAAAATAGGTCCTATTCCGAACCTAATTGTATTCAAACATTTTAGTTAATTTGCTACTCATAATTTAGCATAATGTGATCGAGATATCTTGACTTTATGGAGATTTATGCAGATTCTGAGATATATGACAAAGTCTTTCAAGTGAGTCAGCAGCTACTAGTCTGCTTTTTTTTTCATAAGCACTCAATAGATTCAGCATGAAAATTAATTTCATAGACCTTTTCATCAATACTGTGCTTTAGCACTCAGGTGCAGATCACCTAAAGCCCACTGCAGATCAGAAAATTAATATTAATACTGCCTTTCATTTGATGACACTGAAACAGAATTTTGGGACTTCCAAACCCCTACAGAATAAAACCGCTGAGTGTTTTTTCCCTTTGGTCCCTGGGCTGATAGGGAAAGGTCTGTCTCTACAGAAAAAAACAAAACTGATTTTCCAGGATCCTGCTATGAAGCAGGGAGCACATAAAACCATTAAATCTATGGATTTGATTGCAATGTCTTTGGCTATTGACAAAGTGAGTTCTATTTCCAGGCAAAATACAATCTTCTAAAATTAGTTTTTCCCTAGGGCAATCCAAACCTGTGCTTCCTCTCATCATTCTTGCCCAACTTTTTTTCTTGGACTACCAAACTCTACATTTGCTCTGGACCACTAAATATCAACTGTTCAATTCTTACAGCTCAATAATTTTCATAACCAGTTGATCATGTAATTATGAGAGTAATATTATACTCTGACATTTTCAAGACAGCCCTTTCCACATCAATCTGCATTATAATGCCTCCTTGAAAATTGTACTGAATTATATACTCAGCCTTGGCATTTCCTCATTAGACATTAGGTGAGTAAATGAGTTTATCTCTAGGAACATTTGGGGTCTAAAGTCCGTGTGTCATCCCCCAGGCAGCCAAATATGGGACTCAGTTGGACAGTGAAATTTGTGTTTTGATAATCTTGTCTAAATGGAGGATCGTTATTTTCTGATCACTAAGGTTCATTGATCAGTTTTCCTTGGTATTTTTATGGACCATTTTTCTGATACCCAAGGTGTTGAATTCTGCTGTCTCTACAGTTTATTGCAAAGAACATAATATGTTTGCAGTCTTTCTCTTTCAAAGACCACCACAAACTCAATGGCCTGTGTTTTTAGGCAATTGTTAGTAAAATATGTCCCCAGCATCTGACCATTAATTGGGTTTTCTGATGCTCTGGGGACTTGTATGAGCAACAGTTACAAAAATTGTTATTTTAATTTAGATTAAACTTATATTTCCCTACAGAGAAAAATTATTTTTAGCAGCACACTAGTCCCAGCTCACCTCATCCCTGATGCCACAAGGCTGAGTATAGAGCATGTCCCACTGAAAATATTTAATGGATATAAGATGATGAGAGCCCTGCTGTGTATTAAAGCAGGTAACATGCCAGCAAGGAAGAAAGGAAATAAAAAAGACAGTATGATGCTGTGATTGGTATTGAATTGATCATCTCTAGAGCTGGAGAGTGAGGGTGCATTGGCTTGAGAAAGATGCAGAGAAATCCCTTGATTTGCCTCTCGCTCTCCTCCCCGCTGCAGAAGCTCAGTGTAAGCCCTACTACTCGGATTACTCCCGCTTCCGCCTCCTGATTCACCAGATGTGCACCAGCCACTACCTGGACCTGTTCATCACCGGCGTCATCGGCCTCAACGTCATCACCATGGCCATGGAGCACTACCAGCAGCCAAAGGTACAGGCAGGGCTGTGCTGGGATGTGCTGGTGGGCAGGGGAAAGGCAGGTTTGCTGTCAGATGTCCACCTTTGCAGCCATCCTGCAGCTGCCTCCCAGCTCACTCCAGGGCTTTTGCTACAAGGATCCCATTGCACCTCTCCCTTCTAGTTAAGTGCAAGCTGACTGCTTTGAAAATGAGACTGGGAGTGGGTTTGCTTGCTTTGCTAGATTTGATCATCATTGATATCTTCCATTTTACTTAGGTTTTACACCCACCCTCTCTCCCCCACCCCCCCCCCCCAAAAAAAAAAAAAAAAAAAAAGAGAAAAAGTAAGAATAATAGAATTTGGGAAATGTTTTTGGGTTTTTTTTTTGCAAAATTTCTTCTAAATCCCATGTCCCATAGGACCTAGTTTTCACAGGAATTGGATTCCATGCTGGTCTTTAAAATGCATTTTAATATATTAGTGTGCTTAATTCCTGGGTCTTTGTCATACTGTGAAAATAAAAAGAGCCCGTCCTGAGATGTCAAGTATTTTGTGTGTAAGTATGAAATGGAAATAGCTGCCTTTGCCACATAACTTGTACTTACTTCTATTAGCAATTTTCAGAATTAATAAATATAACACACAATAGGAGGAAATATTCTTTAAAATTAGACAGGACATGAATACTTAATATTAAAAAAACACCAAACAACTAAAACATACAAACAACAGGGGCAGGGGAAAATATTCTCCAGTCTATAGTCAGCCAAAAGTGAAAGGGAGCAAGCCCAATTTATTTTTTCTGTCCAGGTCACCTTTAAATACTCTGGAAGGCTCATTGCATGGTTCAGTCATTAGATGATGAAAAAGGTTGTTGGTGAAGGAGCCTGGGCTGGAGTCATTCTAGAGCATGTGTCTTACAACAGTCACTTTGCAGCTACAGTTTCTCTTGTATTATAGAAATGTTGGGCAGGCTTTTGTTTTTCCTTTTCTTTAGAAAAATAATATTTTGTCTCTAAGCCTCTGGTATGCAGCATCTGGCTGGTAACTGCAAGCTTGGGTTATGCTGGGATGACAGCATGGTCAGAGTCACACACATGCTTGAGTCCTGCTGAACTGGGGCGTGGAAATCCCTCTGGCTGGGATCCTGAAGATATTTGAAGGCTAAATGTACCAAGGAGATTTATATCCAAACTAGTGATTTCCTGGTGCTGAAAAGAGCTGGTTTTTGGATACAGCAGGATGCCCTGGGGATGAGACCCCAGATGGAGATGCTGCAGCTCCTGGAGAGGAGGGAATGCAGCAGTGTGCAGAGAGGTGGTTTGAGTAAAGAGCTGCTGAGCAAAATCTGCTTCTGCCAGCTGAATGTGCTCATTTGCTGCAGAGCCCAAGTGCCCTGCTGTGTGGCAGGGAGGCTTGCTCAGAGCCAGCTTCCTTAGGCAGCTGGGCTTGTGCTTCTTGGTCAGATGAGGTGATTTTTGTCCATGGATGCTTGAAGCTAAACTGTAGCACAGAGGCAGAGTACACGACTTAAACTCCTGCTATGATTTCTCCCACTCGGGGTTCAGTAAATGTTGGTCTGTGGGCTCATCTCCTCTGTTCCCTAACACTGCCCTGGACATTGTTATTACCATCCTGTTTGCCAGCAGGGAGAAATCCAATGCACATTACTTAAGAGGCCATGAAGGATGCTGCTACCACAGTGTTCCTTCATGAGTGAGGCTTTTGGGGATGAAATCACTTCTGATGTAGCTTAATGCCTGACTGTGCAAGAGTTGTCCCAGCCAGGATGCACTTGGATTAAAGACCAGGCTGACTTCTGCAGAGGGAAGGGGGGCAGAGGAAAATGCAAGGTACTTGCTTCCCCTGGCATGTCATCCCTCTGTTGCACTCCTTGCCAAAAGCTCAAGGTGAGGAGTAATGGCAGGCTGTCACCAAGGAGCCATTTGGCCAGCACTTGCACAAATGAATGAAGTGGGATGAAATTCAGCTCTCTGACAGAAGCACAAGAGGTCATGTGCTGCTGAGAGCAGCAAATGCAGCAGCTCTTTCTGCCCACCCCAGCAATCCCAGCTGGGGCTGTGCTGCTGCTAGGGGGGTGAGCTGTGCCTTGTATCAGCCCCTCCTGAGATGTTATCACCAGGCAGCAAGTGCACTCTGTGAATCCCTGGGACTTTTCCCTGGGACATTTTTCATCAGAGAGAGCCCATGTTTGAAGACTTTTAACTGTAATGGGTAAGTGAAGACACAAAAGTCAGGTTTGGAGGCAGCAAAGTGCCTTTGCAGAACTAACATCTAACCCCAGTCCTGTGTCCACATCCCAGGTTCTTGACGAAGCCCTGAAGATTTGCAATTACATCTTCACCGTTATCTTTGTCATGGAATCTGTTTTCAAGCTTATTGCCTTTGGGTTTCGCCGCTTCTTCCAAGACAGGTAACAAAAGATCCATTGTGATCACAAGGTCAGCAGCAGGCTCTGTGGAGAACTGCTCACTTTCCATGTCCTGAATCCCATGCTCTGGCCCATACTGTGAGTCTGATATGTATGAAGGCTTTTTGGAGTGACTGGTTGAAGGCTGGGTAGGTGGAGACATGGGATGTAAGCTGGAGGATGGATTGTGCAGGCCAAAGAGTGTGATTGCATCATTTTGGCCCTTGGGAGCAGATGAAGCAGGGACAGAGCTCCACCAAGCAGCCAGTTCTCTTCTCATGCCCGTTGCATGTCCATATAATCAAACAAACCTGTTGAAGTGACAAAATGTATGTCAAGAGAAAGAATCTATCCCTGAATGAACATGAAAGAAAGAAAGGACCTCTCTTAAATGCAGATGAGGAGCAGTGGATGGCATCGTGTCTTTATCTAGATTTTCACTCTCTTAGCTCACAAGCACAAATTTTATATCCTTGGTCGATCTTTCTCCCATTTTTGCCTTCATCAATGTTAATAACAAAAGTAGGGCACTAAGTAGGCCTTCACATGAGCCCTTCAGCATACAGTGCATGGCTCCATCCCTGTCCCCACATTTTGTGTGTCCATGCTGGAATTACCACTCTCTCCAGCCTGGCACAAATCCTTGGGGCCTTTCTTTCACCAACACAAATTTTTTCTAAGGACTGTACATGGGGTCCTGTTCTCTCTGGGGAAGATCTTACATTGAGGTCCACAAGTGCCATGTCTAGAAGTGGCTAGACAGACAACACAGTATCTCTCCTGAGGTTTGGAGTCTCTGGGTAAAAAATTTCCCAGCTTTTGTTCCTCTTTCCCCTCAGTCAAGGATATCTTTGGAATTGGCTGGTTTTCTAATGAGATGCATTAGTTACAATGATTTCATAACATCACTGCTTTTGTATAATACCCTCAGAAAAATACTGCAGATTCATTTGAGTTCTCAAACCATTGAAATGACTGGAATTCGTGTGAAACAAGCTGCCTCCCATTGCCAGCTTCTTAGTAGATTTTCAACTTCACTTTGTGTTGTCTCCAGATGGAACCAATTAGATCTGGCAATTGTGCTGCTGTCTATCATGGGTATCACTTTGGAAGAGATCGAGGTGAATGCTTCACTACCAATTAACCCCACGATTATCCGGATCATGAGGGTTCTCAGGATCGCCCGAGGTGAGAGGGATAAAGCAGAACTGACTTGTGCTTGAGGTACATGGTTGGCATCAGGAGAGAGTTAAGCATTGAGAAACAGTCCTGGGGCACATCCTCATCATAATGTGCATAGTTCTGGCATCAACAGGCTGTAAACAAATGAAAGAACAATGGGGGAAAATACTTGCAAGGAGCCAAAAAGCTGAGCCAACTGACCATGTGTTTCTGCCTTAAGAGATCTTGAAGGCTGAGAGCTTAGAAATTAAGGAGAAGTAGCTGGTGGCAGTAACTCTCAGAGATGTACCTGGGAAAATTGCTCCAGTCAAATCAAAGTCATCTCTAACAGGGATTAGAGAACACAAGCTTGAGTACATCAGCTTTAAAAGATGAGCATCTAATAAATTTAAATTCCCATGAGGCTTTACATCACACCACTTGGTGACAAAGCATGCCTTGTCACACTCTATCCATCTGTCCCCTCAGACACGTTCCCAAGTCAGTGAGCCAACTTCTTCAGGGATTGAAGTTGATTTTTCAAAACAGGGAGGTGTCAGGGCCAAATGATGAAGATGTAAAATGTGAGTGCTTAGGCTCTTAATGAAGTACTTCCAGGCCCTCCTGAAGGGTATTGTGCTCTGAGGAGGAATTGTTTTGATTACAGCCCTCATCTACGCAGAGAAAGAACTGGAGGAGAAATTAAATGCTGCTGTGTCTCAAGAGGGGGAAAAAGTGGGTTTTCTGTGCATTGGATCCCTTTCAGAATTAAAAATACATGCAGCTTCCAATTGGAAATGCAACCTTCTGGAAGAGATGTGTAAATCATTCCTCAGTGAATCATGTATGAAAGTGGGTAGCCTATGGAAGTGGGAAAGTAGCCCCAGGGCTGGGGAAGGAACTGCTCATGATAACCGGAGGAAGGAGATGAGTCCAATACAGATAAAGTGGGGAAGGAAGAGCCTGGCAGAGTGATAACGCTTCCTCCAAGTCTCAGAGTAGGTGATGCTGCTATTCATGGGATTTTGATAGTATCCAGGCAACAAGGAGTGATGCAAAAAGGCCAAGGACTGTAGCAGCTAATGGAGAACACTTGCCAAGATTTCACGTTTCTCTTCCTGGGCTCCTGGGAGAGGGACTGAGTTTGTGCCTCTCTGCTAATGCTGACTTTACCATGCTGCAAATGCGTTTTCCACAGTGCTGAAGTTGCTGAAGATGGCTGTGGGGATGAGGGCCCTCCTGGACACCGTGATGCAAGCACTACCGCAGGTAACCCACTGCCATAACAAACCAGAGCTCCTCTGGCCCACAGCTCATTTCCTATTGCAGAGGAATGCTAATAATTTTATCTTTGCTGTCATTAGAGAATCAGATTTTCCTCCCGAAGCACTGAGATACAGTCCTCACATTGAGATCATTTATGCTCTTAAGCAATTTAAATTTTGGATTAAAAAAAAAAAAAAAAAAAAGGTATTTTACAAAAAAAAAAAAAAAAAAAAATCAATGAATGTTCTTTTTTTTTTGTGTTTTTTCCCCCCATTTCTTTTTCTCTTTTCAGGTGGGGAATCTGGGCCTTCTCTTCATGTTGTTGTTTTTCATATTTGCAGCTCTTGGAGTGGAGCTGTTTGGAGACCTCGGTGAGACTTCCCGTGCCAGTGGGAGGGGTGGGAATGGTGTTGGAGTGGGGGGTCTGACAGCTGTGGTTGTCTCACAGAGTGTGATGACACACACCCTTGCGAGGGGCTAGGACGGCACGCCACATTCAGGAACTTTGGGATGGCCTTCCTGACCCTCTTCCGAGTATCCACAGGAGACAACTGGAATGGGATAATGAAGGTAAGCGTTAAGGTTTTGTCAGCAAGTGTAATGCTGTTCTAGACATGAAATTTGCCAAATCTTCTCAGTTTTTTCATGAAAGGAGAACCCGTTGCAGACCATGGTTCATGCTGCAATCTCTTCACATCTCTTAGTGTCACGGTTTGGTTGATAAGTTGGTGTTAGGTGATAGGTTGCACCTGACGATCTCCAAGGTCTTTTCCAGCCTGGTTGAGTCTGTGATCATTCCCCCGCTGTTCCCAGGACACGCTGCGTGACTGTGACCAGGAGTCCACCTGTTACAACACCGTCATTTCCCCCATCTACTTCGTCTCCTTCGTGCTGACAGCCCAGTTTGTCCTGGTCAACGTGGTGATCGCGGTGCTCATGAAGCACCTGGAGGAGAGCAACAAGGAGGCCAAGGAGGAGGCAGAGCTGGAAGCAGAACTGGAGATGGAGATGAAGACCATCAGCCCTGGCCAGCACGGCCCCTCGGACATCTTTGTGTGGACAGGCACCACCAGTGGAGAGAGACCCGAGAGCCCCCGCGGATTTGCCAATCCCATGCAAATCAAGGGGGATTCTCAGCTCTCACTAGCTTATCATATGGTGAGGATCTCTGCTGCAGGGTGAGGAGGGCTTGACCTGCACTTTTGTTGGGGGAAGATTTGCACGAGCTGGTAGTGAAAGAGGTGTGCACCAGATGTCCTGAGCTTGTATTCCCTGCTGTCTGCTGCTGATTCTTGTGTGGTTTGGGAGCCAGTGCTGCAGGGAAGAGACCCCAGGCAGGTCTCCAGACCACCTTGATGCATCTGTTTGGAGGGAGAGAGTTTTGCAATTTACTCTGGAGTTCAGCTCAAGCCACAGAGTTCAGAGGTATCTCCAAAATTACTCTAATTCAGTGTTTCGACTGGTCCTTTGTGATAGCAAAATCATGAGTTTAATGTGTTTGCTTTTCTAATACAAACCATGAACCACAGCATAAAAGAGGAATAAAACTAGGCTAATCTTTGCTTCAGTATTAAATTTGTTTTGTGCAACCTCAATTTAAAATCCATCCCCACAGTCAGGTTTGTAAGAAAAGATTCTTTTAACAATAGAATAATCCAGAGGAGACTCAAACCTGAGCTCACCAGAGCTGGTGGCAGAACTCCCACTAGCAGAAGAATGGCTGTAATGTGGAAGCCACACACATTTGTGTGCTACAAGCTACACCATGTCTCCCTAAAGCACAGTTTTTGGATGAAGACTCAGTTTGAGGAATGAGAGGCGAGCTCAAACCCCAGACAAGTTATCTGGGAGGTCACTGAGCTAAAATTACTCAGAAAGTAGAGTCCAGCCTTTTTTTAGTCTTAGCTGATTGCAAATTGGGTTAAACTCTATGCAGACCTCATTAACTTTTATTACATCATGATTTCACAACAGCATGTCTTGGCCACAGCCTGGGGTGGACTAATGCATATTCTAATGCATGAAAAACTCATTTATGATTTTTAGTCCAAGAGCGAAAGAGAGTAAATCCCCGCTTAATCTTTGTTTCAGTTCCTAAGCTACTGGAAATTTCTGGTGCCATTAGAATCTCTGATGTCTGAGGTGGAAAACAAAGCTGCTCTTTGGCTCAGGAAAAAGGAGTTCAGGGTCCTGTGGGGAAATCCAGATTTACTACATCCTCTAGGAAGAACCAATACATCCCAACTGGTGCTGTATGTGTGGAGCAGAGTACTGGCATGTCCTCAGCTGTGTTGTCCTGCACCAGGACTGAAACCGGCGAAAAAGAGAAATGGCAAAACTGAGAGACAAATCAGTCATAATGATGCCCTCACTCTGCAGTCTGTTAAACCTGCCCTCTCTAAAGGCTGCCTGGGAAAGGGTTTATTCTGGTCATAACCTTCAGAGTGTTTCTTGCTCTTTCCCTCAGATAGAAGCCTCAAAAACCTCCAGGAGATCTTATTCTGACTATTTATTTTCCCAACCAAAATCTTCAGGATAAATCTGATGCGTGAGCTTGATAGCAGAGGAATACAATAGCCAGGACACAACCCTGCAAGGACAGCATGCTCTTTTGCTTGCATCTTTCCTGGGATTTTTGCACTGTGTGCTGTTGACTGTAGTGCTGGTCCTCATCTCATTGTATGCATTGGGCATTCCCTACATGGAAGGTGGACCCTGAAATCCCTCCCCTGCTGCCTGCAAAAGCCAGACCCTACTCTGGACAACCCCAGTGCTGTGGCCAGCTGGTTTGACATCAGCAGGGGTGCCTCAGCCCATGTCTGGCACATGAATTAGTGACCTGACACATGTCCATCCTGCTCAGCTGCAGTTTCCATGGACAGGACACTCAGCCTCTCTTCAGTCATGTAATTTTAATTTTTGTGCCATCTGGATATGGATTTAGGTGTCAAGTATTAGGTCCTGCAGCTCAAAAGTGTGGACCATGTGTGTAGAAGTCTTGCAGCAAGTAGTGTCCTGTTGAAGTTGACAGCAGCAATGGAAAAATTCTGCTCAGCCCCTAGAAATGACTGGTCATGTTTGCTGAGAGGGAGATTGTCCCCAAGGAGGGCCCTGGGGGGGAGCAGCCATGGTCTCGGGGCAGCTGCCATCGCTCCATCTCTTGTAATGTCTGGGAAAGCTGTCTCTGCTCACCGTGATATTACTGCACTGTTCTCTCTCCTTTTCTCCTGTCCCATTGTTCCTGTTGCTGCTGTTCTCCTTGAATGTTTCCACCTTTTTTTCCCCCCTTCTTTTGTTTTCCCTCATTTTGTTCATTTGGTTTGATATGCTGTCCTTTTTTTCTCTCTGTCTCTGTCCCTTGCCTTTTCCTCCTCTCTTTTTGGCTTGCTCTCTCTCTCTGCATGCTGTACACCACCCTTCCTAGGAAAGACACTTGTTTGATACCATATCACTGCTGATCCAGGAATCTCTGGAAGGAGAGCTGAAGCTGATGGACAACCTGTCAGGCTCTGTGTGCCATCATTATGCCCTCCCAGCTCCCGAATATTACAACTCTGAGAACCAGGTTAATATTCCTAATTTCCTGCAAAGTCTCCATCCAATCTCAATTTGACTGAGACCTTTAATAGCAAGTTAAAGTTCTTTATGTAATGCAGTCACAGGAATTTGGAAGCATAAGTCACTTTGGCTTTTTCTGTGGGAGTAGATGATGTTGTATATCAATGCAAGAGAAAGAAAACATGCTCGGACTTTCCCTTGCCAACACAGTAAGAAGTTTTTCCTTGGGATTTACAGTTCATAGGTGTTAGAGGGGAAATGTACAAAATTCCATCTCCATCCTTCAGTGAGGTTGTTATATTTGGCCTCCTGCTCCTAAGCAGGGCTCCACAGCAATGTCAGGGCATGTCTGCAGAGCCTGCAGGGTGAGGTTTTCTCAGAGCAGAGCCTGAGCTGCTGGGGTTCATCAAATGATCTCTGTTCTGTGCCTACTTGTACTGCATGAAAATCCACTTTTGAAGGGTTTTCCTAAAGAGGCTTCTTGCAAATGGGTCACTGCAAACAAGATCCTCATCTCTGATCTAGTGACTTTAGGAGGGGAGGCAGCCCTTAATGATGCACAGAAGTAACTGTGTGCTCCAGTGCTTTCTCAAGCAGACAGTGCTTGTTTAAAATTAGTCCATTTACTTCCTAGAATAAAATACCTACTTTTTAAAATGCGTTATTCTTTAGAGCAAATATTTTCCCTAAAAACACAGCAGTGACCATAATAATAATTCAAGCACACCTATTTTCTGCTGCAGTTGGAATTGAGCAAATTCCATATTTCTTGATCTATTTTACCCCCTTTCCCCTCCCTGGCTAAAAATAGCAGAAATCTTCTCGTTAAATCAGTGTGCTTGTTTATGAGCTCAGTGACACTCTAAATTACCCAACTTTTGATGGTTCATTAGAGGAAAGGAACAAGCTTAGGTAAAATGAAATCCTACTGCAGATCTTTATATAGCAGGATTACATGTCTCCCTCTGATTGCTCCATATTGCATCCTAGAGTCTGTTAAGCTATAGGAAGTGGTTGTCTCTAATAATTGCCAGAGGAATGGAGACAGTAGCTTTGGCAGGGAAGACAGAGGGTCAGTTGGAAACTCAGTGAGAGCTGGTTAAAAATTTTTTGTCACAACATTTTTCACCAGAAAGTGCTGCAGCAGCAAAAAAATGGATTTGTTTTGACATTACTGTAATGAAAAAATATAGCATTCCAGTTTGCAATGGCTTTTTCTTTTAAAATTTAAGCTTCCCCCCACCCACCCCCCACCCCCATCAATAATTAAAACTGGTCTAACTCAGTTGGATCTTTCCAAGAAAATGTTTTGACGGCTTCAAACTCAATTTTGGGTTTGGGAAGGCTGAAGTGGGGTGATGTTTCGTTTACATTTTGGCTTTTCTGTTCGCACCATTTGTCATGTTCTCAGGCAATTCAGGAATTTAGAGCAGTGCTGAGACTTGCTGAAAGCAACCTGATTAATAGCAACTCCCAGCAAGGCAGCTCCAGCAGGCAGGAGCTGCTGGAGCCCAGCACGCTCCTGCACAGCTTTTCCCTGGCTCTGGTGGGGGGGTTCCTCCTAGGGATTCCTGTCCTTAGCCTGGCAGCCTTCACAGTGATGCCTTTTAGGGGAGCATCTTATTCACTCAGGGGCTCCAAATCATCTCTCTCATCCATTGCCAGCAGATAAGTGTGCTAGAAGAGATATCAAAGCCGAGGTTAGATGAGAGGAGTCCAACCCTCTTACTTATCTCAGCTGAATTTTGAGCCTCTCCAGGCTCACTCATCGCTGGGTTTGTTCCGTCCCGCGGCTGCCATTTCTAAGAGTGAGAAAACCGAGTCCTTTGACAACTTCAATGCAAGAGATCTGGGCCTCTCTGTTTTCTCTTGGAAGACTTATTGCTGCTGGAAGACTTTGCAAGCAAAGAGGATGGCAAAAAAAAAAAAAAAAAAAAAAAAAAAAAAAAAAAAAAAAAAAAGCACAGTGAGAACTGAAAAGGAAGCACCTGGGACTTGCCTAGAGCAGGCAGCCCCTGTGAGCATGAGCTGGGTTTGGAGGTTACCTGATGAAATGCCATCCCTGCTATCGTGAGCACTGTATCCAGGCAGGGGATTTGGGGAGGATGGAGCCTGCTGCAGGGCACACACCCCCTCTTACAGTGCCTGGCAGCAGAGCTGCTGCTCTGGGGGAGATGCTGCTGGTCCCCTTTCCCCCCTCTTTTTCCTCCAAAATCTGAAGTGACATTTTCACATTTTGTATAAAAAGACTTCTTTGTCTAGGGAGAGAGCTTCATCAATGATTTGATGAGGACATTTATAGATTGCTTGAATGTCTTCAGTGGGGATCCATTCATGCAAGATGCATGAAAACAGGAGTGTGGCTGTGTAGAGCCGATTCCCAAGTCAGGATTTCTCAGTGCCAGAGCAGAAAGCTGGGGCCAGGCCCGAGGGGCATCTGAGGGCTGAAAAATGCAGCTGGCTGTTTTAGTAGGTCAGTTGTTGGTGTCACTGGAGGCTCCCTAGCCAGCCAAAATGAGCTGAAACCACCAGGAAGGTGTTTGCTGACCAAAATAAAGTTTTAAGTTTCTCTCTGTGCCCTTTTAACCAAGAGGAAGTGAATTATGGTCCCACCTGCCTCTTGGGGGTGGTCCCTGCAGCCTCCCTAGGCACACTCCATGCCCCACCTGAAAAAATGGATTAGTTGTTGGGGAATCTTTAGAGACTAAACAAGTTTATCTTAGAAACCAGGATGATTACTGGGGGAACAACTTCAGAGAAATCAGATCTTGAAACCACTTGTATTTATCACAGCCAAGAGGAGGAATCGCTCCATTATGAGAGCAGTGTTACTTTTGCTTCCTCATATAGACAGAAGAACAGCAAAATACAATGCCAGCATTAGTGTATGGTTTTAAACTCCCTCCCAGTTCCTTGGTAAGCACTGGAGTATGAATGTCCCGCTCCTTTTTTAATTTCTTCATTATATTTAATTTCTTTAATGTTCTGTCCCTGGTAACAATGTGTATGATGTAGTTTCTCCCACTGCAGGGATATTGCTTTAGTGTCTAGAAGTATTTCGATTATGATAATTTTTTTTCTTTTTTTTTAGTTTTCTTTTCCAAAATATTTGTGTCCTGGTTTCTTATGTTTAATCATTTCTCCCTTTAGATCCCTCTAGCTGAGATGGAGGCTCTATCTCTGACGTCAGATATTCTCTCTGAAAAGTCCTGGTCCTTAGCTCTGACGGATGACTCTTTTCCTGATGACATTAAAACACACTTACTTAATGCTCTGGAAAGCAATGTACATACACTGGTCGCTGTGTGGTCTGATGTGCACAGGGTTCGAAATACTGCTCCCATCTCTCTGCACCTGCCATTGGCATTTCCAGTTCCAGCCCCTTCCCAAACAGCAGCAACCTCTTCCCTGAACAGGATGCTGGCCTTAATGCTATTAGGTCCTGGGTTTTGTCACTTTTCTCCACAATCTTGGCTCCTTGCAAGGAATGAGTGGTTATTTCCATTTTTCTTTTGGTGTCTTATGTATGAACACTTTGTTTTCTACAAGTAAAATTAGTAGTAAAAAAAAAAAAAGGCTTTGGAAAGCATCAGGGTTGAAATTTCCTCCCCATCTGAAACAAATCAGTGATACTGCCTGAAGAGACACCCGTGATCTAATGACCCATGTCCTCTGCTGAAGGGTCAGTCCCAACACTTCTGTTTGGAGTGGATTTTTGTCATTATGAACACAGGCAACACAAGGCTTTTTGCATGATTGGTGCCAGACTGTTTCTTTTACAAATATCAAATGGGGATCTCTCCAACATGATACTTTTGCAAATTCTTTCTAGTAGTCATTATGCTGAAAAAAAAAAAAAAAAAGACTATTGAGTGTTTTTTTGACTGACATAACCAGTATTTTGAACCCTGCCTTCACCATCTCCTCTTTGAAACATTAGACATTTTTAGCTGTGTAGCAGTCAAGTGCTTTTTTTCTGCTGTAAAACAGACATAACCCCTTTCCCAAATTTTTAGATCATTCTTGTTTTCTTTGTTGTCGTTCATGTACCTACCTTTGGATGTTTGTGTTGTTCATAAATTTTATGCCGTATTAGTTGACTGTCATCCTAATTAGCACTTATTTGAGAAAAATCTTTTAAACCGTGACAATATTTCCCATCATGCTTCATGGCATCCTATGCAAAAGATTTTGTAAGCTCCGTTTTACTTCTTGTACAATGCTTTTTGTTTCAAAATTAGTATGGAGAGTTGGACAGAGGAGAAATCCTCCTAGTTTTCAGTCAGATTAGACAACTTTGTTTGACAGCACTGCGAAGTCTAAAAGGTACAGCCAGGAAAGATGTTTTTTTCTCAGAAAAAAAAAGCAAAACTGTATTGAACAAAGGGTTTTGTGAATTTTTATCAATACCAAAAAAGTATTTGGTGGCAACAGTTGTCCAAACCCCTGAAAAACTGCAAGTTTTCATTGAAATCTCTTCTAATTGCAATATTTTTACACTTCATTTAGATGTGGCTTTAGTTGAAAATTATCTGGTTTGTGGATTTTTTGTTTGTTTGGTTGGTTTTGGTTTTTGGTTTTGTATTGTTTTTTGGTTTGTTTTTTGGGGTTTTTTTTGGTTCAAGGAAAACTTCAATTTGATTTTCAGTCAAGCCAAAACAAGATGTTTTTCAAAAGTACCGCTGAACCAAAAAGTCATGTGCTCCCACTGCTCTGTATGTAGCCTGACCTGGGAAGATAATTTTACAGCCATTTTCAATGGTTTTCATGAATTTCACTCATGGAATTTCCCCCAAGATGATCCAAAAGTGGAAATAACCCATATTGGATCCGGTCAACAAACCTAGAAGTTCACTGAAGGTTGGATTTGGATGGGGTCTCAAATCCAAGATCTCATGTTCAGGTCTGAGTTTGAGATCTCAGGTTTCAGGCTACTTTTTCTGCTTTTAGCTCAGTAGTATGACAGCAAAACAGCATGAAGTGGGTAGAAGGGGAAGGCAGGGAGGGATGAGAGATTCCCAAATCCAAACTCTCAGCTTTACCAGCACAGGTTTTGCTCTCCTTCCCTGAGATGTATCAGGAGATTGCAGACTCCCTTATCTAATCTGTGTCCAAGCTCCAAATCAGCAGTTTCCCAAGGACTGAAACAAATGCTGTGTGGCAGTGCAGACCTGTTTTGTTCATTAAATTTGGAATAGTGATCTCCTTTTCTTTATTCTCTTCCCTGTCTTTTCTTCTTTTTTGTTCCTCTTTTTTTTTTCCCGTTTTGCAAATTCTTTTAATCTCATCCTGTTTCTTGTGCAAATAAATGCCATAATGAAATTTTGTTTTTATGACTGAAGAATAAAATTGGGATAAAAAAAATCTGTGTTGGTTCCACAAAACCTGTAATGCACTGAGTGAAGGAAAAATTTTTCAGAAAATAAGATCTAAAGTTTTCCCAAAACGATCAGCCAAATACTCTACTAGACTACAGTGACACAAACATATTCCTGTGTTTTTCACTTGAGATACTTTAACAATTAAATAATTGTTTCATTAGAAATACACTGGGAAGATGACTTTGCTTCCATTTTTGCTAATACTTTCCAAGACAATAACACCCAAGAACATTTCTGGGATGGAGATATTTTCTTATGAAATCAGACCTGAATCCACTCAATATTGCCTCTGGGGCTGCCCATTCCAAGAGTCTCTTTGGCTGTAAAAATTCCACAGTCAACATACACACAATAACCCTTGCTTGCATTAGATCCCTTCTAATTAGAGAATGGCTTTCACCCTGAAGCAGTAGGTTTGGATATCCTTTTCAATAAAATAGGTTTAGTTATTCATTATGTGAGAAGAAAATCCAATAAAATTGTGCTGTGAGCCAGAAGAGAAAGTATTTTTTATAAACTAGTTTTTGCATTTGAGTTGGGGTTCTTTTGTTTGTTTTTCTTTCTTTTATTGTCAGAAGAGGAAACTACCTCACCTTTGCCTTGCTGATGAGGGCACCTAGGGAGAGTCAAAGTTCTGCCAAGCGCGTGACCTTTGCTGGCCTTGAGGCATGATGCCTTCATTGCACATCTCTGAAATAGTCATGGTTTATTGCTACGTTGTGGCTTCCTGTTTGTGCGATCCATTGTGTGCGAGTTTATTGCCAACCCCGGCGAGGGGGATGATTCCCTGGTAGATCCATCCGTGCATGCCCATCCCGCCATCCCGGTTGCAATGGCTGTCGCGCGCGTTTCCGGGCGCTTCTCCTCTTCCCCTCCCTCCCACTCCTGCCTTCCTCACGTTTTCCTTCCCCTCAGGCCGATCTCCGCTCCAAGGACGACGCGCTGGCCCTGTCTCCCAGCAAGGACCTGCTGAGCGTGAGGAAGCCCTCGGTGGGACGCACGCACTCGCTGCCCAACGACAGCTACATGTTCCAGCCGCCCTGCTCCAGCCCCAGCCCTGCCTCCCTGGGCGACAGGAGACCGGCGCACCACAAGTCCCAGTCAGGTACACACCCATCTCCCAGCTGCCACAAGAGTAGGGTTTGCCAATAAGCAAGAGTTGTGGTTTCCCAAGCTCTTCAGCAGGAAAATCGCCACGGGTTTCCAGTCGTGTGTCTAGACCTGTGGAAAGACCCTCCACAACTTGCAAAGACCCTCCACGGTTTACAAAGCCCTGCTTAAGGCAACTCTGTTCCTCAGAATTGTTTGGCAACGTGACAGTGGCCTGGCTCAGCACTGGTTGTCTCCTGCCTGGTTCCCTAAGGTTACAGTCCCTACAGCCTGGCTCCATCTGTCCCACCGGGCCCCAGAGGAAAAATCCCAGTAGAGAAATATTTCCTCCTGTCTGTGTTTTGCAGCAGTTCAGAAGCTCTGTCTGGGAACATCTATGAAAGATGGGAAGAAGGTGTCTCTAAATGCCTGTAAAATGAACATAAATATGAATTGAGAGACATGTTGGTGTGAGATAAATGGGAAAATGAGAGAGTGTGGAATTGTTTTTCCCAGTGTGCATGGTTGGGATATACATCTTGCAGCTAAATTCAGAGATATTCTTAGGTACAGGGAGGGCTCTCCCTGCCTGCACCTCTGTCCCTGTGCTTGCAGCTGCCTCTCAGGGCTTGTCCCTCTGCCCCCAGTTCTGCTGCCTGCCAGGGGTTACTTGGGGCTGGCAAGTGAATGGAGCCACCTTTAATTTGTCTGTACATGCCATCATTTCAGAAATTTGTCACCAATAAGACAGGGAAGTTTTTACAAGCATTGCCATTTGAAAGCCTCTAAGCAAAACATAATTTCAGCAATGTTCAGAATGGAAGGAGATTTGAACAGATTAGAAATAAGATGTTGAAATTTGCATAGTAATAAGAATTTGGATGAATAGCGACTGTTGAACAGAAGCAAAAAAAAAATGGGCACAAGGAAGGAAAATGAATCTGGTGTTGTGAGAAATCTCTGCCACAATACACAATCTTCAAGGTCAAGAGTGATGTTTTGAAGAACCTGTTTGCACATAATGCTAATGGTGCAGCTAAAATCCCATTGAAACTAATAGTAAATCTCCCATTACCTTCAGTTGAGCTAGAATTTATGGGTCTCTGTAACAGTCAAGAAATCCCTGACCACACAAAATGTTTGCTGGAGAGGGAATTTCCAGTGCTTCATTGTTGACCCTTAATTGGGATGTATTTGCACTGTCTTGAACAAAAACTACATCAGTAAGGGACTAGGTAATTTATTATTCCCTTCTTTTTCAAAATTTCACTTCCCAGTTTCAGTTTGGAGAACCTGAACAGCCCTATCTGACAGCCCCAGCTTTCTGGGGACAGGCATTGCACCCTCGTATATCCACAGGAACAGCTGTTCCACTGAAATGTGGCAGAAATACTTTGGAGAGGTAAAGCTGATGTCTTATAACCACATTAAGCAATTAAACCTTCTCTGTTTTTCTCCTGCTGGTGAAATTCCAATCATCTTAAGCAGGCCAGAGTGCTGGGAGGTGGGTAAGGTCTCCAGATTCTGGCGTATCAGTGTCCTCTGGCACCTGCAATGTCACTGCTTTTCAGGGTGGGGGAAGTCACTGCCACCTGTTTACAGTTTGTAATATCTGTAATATTGTAGAGTGCAGTGAAGACAGGAAGAGGTGCCAGGCGCCTCTAATAAATCACCACAACCAAACCATAATATTTCAAGCTGAGAAGGTTTTGTTGTCAGAAACACTGGCACTTGCAGGAGGCATTTGTTTGAATACTCCTTGGTAATGGGGCTGTTGCTCTGGGAAAGATTCCAGGACAAATGAGATTCTCTGGGATGCGGTCCAGATTAAATGAATTGTTTTGAAAAACATTGAGCCTGTGTGTGAGGGGAGCACACAGAGTTTCAAACCTTTTAGAAGTAGTGGCCAGCAACCACAAAGGGTCACGAAGAGGCTGGAGAGGATGTTTCCTTCTTCTGGGAGGCTTTGTAAAACCAGCCTTGAGAGCTGCCAGGTGCTCTTCCCTTTCACTTCATTTCCAGTGTATGCATGCTGGTTTGGAAATCCCAGCAGTTGGTCTCCATGCAGGCTCAGGCATGGAGACACCTTCTAGAGCCTTTTAAAATCAGATGTTTGCAGTGCTCAGAAGTGAGGCTGCCTGCGTAGTTATTGGCCCAAAAGCAAAGATGCAGGAATTGCCAGTTCAGATGAACTTGTAGTTCCTTGTCTTCTGTTCTCAACAGGAGCTAGTCCCAGTTGCACCAGGGGAAAATGCCAAGAAAAATGAAATAATAGACAATGCTGGAGTAATTTATTAGTAGATGGGAATTTTTTTCCCCAGTTCTGGAGAGGCAGTTGCTGAATTCAGTGGTTTTGCTGTGCCTGTGTGATCCAAGATGCAGCAGAGCAGTTTCCCCTGGGAGGTCACTGAGGTTGGGACACAAGCCTTGGATGACCATGTCCCATTTCTGCCTCCTCTCCCCCTTGCAAGGTTCAAAGGCGTCGGTGCAGTCGCAGCCGGCAGACACCAGCTCCCTCCTGCAAATCCCAAAGGACCATTTCCACCCTGCACGAGCTCCCAACCATTTGGTGGGGGAGAGCAAGCCCCGGATCTCCCAGCAGGTACACTCCCCTTCTGCTGAAAGGCTGCTCCGCAGACAGGTAAGCAGAGTTATGATCATAAACCTGCTGGGCTTTTATATTGATGCATTTCTTGGTTAACCGTGCTTTAAATTCAAGGAGGGATTCACAGAGAAACCTCCAGAGAACTGTAATTCTCCTACAGCAATAACAAAATGGTTGGTGGTTTTTGATCTGAAAGGCATCCAGGAGTCTCCTAAGAACATGCATGATGAGTATCATGTCCTTTGGCAACATGCCTAAATGTTCTCCACATTGTTAGCACTTTATTTTTTTTAATCCTCCTCATAAATGCAGCCAAATGCTCCCCAGGGGCTCGTTGGGGTTGAGGAACTCATTCTTAACTGCTGAGATTTTTTTGGTGCTTGAAAGGACACAAGAATTACAGGCTCCATCCCAGGCCACCTCATCTCTAACTCCTCTGGTTTTCCAAAAGAGAAGTGTTTCATGGAAATTGGTTATCTCATGCGCAAAACCATCATGAGAAGTATACTGGTTTTACAGTGAGAATTGAAAATTAAAATATTTTTCCATAAACTGTGAGTTTTTAAAAAGTTTGACTTTATGCACAGCAGAACATGTTTTATTTTGCAGCCAGTTTTATCTCTGGTTTTTGCCTGGCATTGATTTAAATCCTGATTCAATCAAAGATCTAAGGGATCTAATCAAAGATTCCAGTCTGGTTGATTGGAAGCATAAGTTTAGACTTATCTTTTTTTAGTAAAATACTTAAACTTGTGCTTCACTCTCACAGTTTTAAGCACATTTCAATGATTGTGCAGCTGAACCGGGACCAGAAGCACATCTGATTCAAAACCTCTGCTTTATTCAGTATTTCCATGCCTGATTTTATATACACAAAGGGGATCAGTTCTATTTTTTCAAAAGCAATTTATTTCCTGTATAAAAATATTCTCATTTCTTTAATCTTTTAATCAACATTGACAAATTAGACAGTTGATTCATTAAGCTCTAAAAATGGATGTGAAGTACCAAGGTTAACAATTACATTAGTCTGTAATACTAAATTGACATAAGAAATTCCTTACATGTCTTCATTTGCATGGGGTTGGCCAGCTATCCCAATCACCACTAATGGGGAAACTAATTGATGTCATGATTCCAGTTCATAACCACTCTCTCTTGCTTTCTGATGAATAACAGACCCATCCTTTTGAAGCAACCTAGCTGGCATAAATTACCATGTTAGCCATCTTCTCCAGTCTAATTTTGTTCACATCTTTGACGGCTTCTTTTTGAAGACCTTTTCATATTATTAAGTCAATTTATTGGCCTCCTTTCCTCCCTCTCCTTGCTCATTCAGGGACATGAACATGCCCTTGGAGTGACAGATCAGAGAGCAAAGAGTTTTGTGGCAGTGAGCAGATATAGTCCACGGGCAAACCCATGAGGGGCTGCCTTGGGCAGGCTCCTGAGCAGCAAGGAGCTCCCAGTCTGGCTAATGGGAGCAGTGAGGTTGTTCTGGTGATATTGCTGTTGTTATTAATTGCATTCTAGATGGCCAGACACCAGGAAACTTGGTCCTTTAAGAGGCAAAATTCCCTTTACAGCCCCAGCACTTCTGCTTGCACAAGTGTTCTCTGCTTGACTCCTTTTTATTGCTACCACTAGTATCTCACTGGCACATCAAATAGCCTAAACTGGCAAAGCAGTTTGGTTTTCAGTACCCATTTATCCTTATCTTTACATATACTGCATGCAATTCTGATTTGGCTTTTTTTTCTTTTTCCCTTTCCCTTTCCCTTTCCCTTTCCCTTTCCCTTTCCCTTTCCCTTTCCCTTTCCCGAACTTCCCCCCACGCCCTCTCCTCTCCTGAATCCAAACCAGATAAACCTTGTCCATCACATACCTGGTCCTTGCACTTTCCCTGAGCATTAAATCCTGTGTGTTTAACCTCCCTTTCCCTCCAGAGTGCTGTTGAGCAAGCACAGCCCCCACAGTAACGTCCAGTTTAGACTCCGGAGTGTTTGACAATTAGCGATGCACTCGCAGAGGAAGATGAGTGGATCGGATGCTTTGGGAGAACATTCCTGCTGAGGATTGCACTCCTTGGCAGTGCATGGCACAAAGGCTTTTCTCCAGAGGAATTCTACCTGAAATTAAACTTATATTGATTTTGTAGTTCCAGGACTGTGTATCAAAGGTGTAGCCCACACCAAGATGTGGCTGCTACAGGTGTACACCCCTCTGAGATGGCAGAGGGTCCTTTTATTTTTCAAACAAACCATTAAAACCAGTAAAACATTTGTACTATTGCTACTAACAACAACCACAGATGCCTGTATCATAGAGAAAGAAAGAGCTGGTGGTGACTAATACTGTCGTGGTGTGCAACACAGGTTGGTGTGCAAGCAAAAGTAATGACAACAATTACTTTTTGCTTCTGTATTCGACTTCTGTGTGGTCTGTGTCTCTTTTCAGGATATGAACATGATTTTTTCTCCCAAATACTCATTAAAACTACTGGTGCTGAGGAGACTAGAATAACTTCACTCCTGACTGATTAATTGCCAGCATTATGCTGTGAAATTTTAACTAGAAAGGGTTCGTCAGCACTTTGGATGAAATTGTTTGCCATATTAAATATTCTCTGAGCTGTCCCCATTGACAAAGGGAGTGCAATGTGCAGATGCTACAATAGACTATGGTGTTTTTGTGCACACATGGACACACTGCAGCTGATGAGAGCTTTGCTGGATAGAGATCATTTGGCTCAAATGATCCTTGTGGGACAATATTTATAAAAGCTTATGATGATTTTAGGGTGATTTGTCACAAAAGTATTCCTTAGCATGAGGAATTTAATCATTTCATCATTTCAGCATTTCATCTCCTTGCAGTTTTCTAAATTACTGGGACCAGGTGTATGCATTTTTTCCAAATTTTCCTGTGAAGATTTTTGTCTTTAAGATCAATTACAAGTGTTCTCAAATGGATACTCTGCCTTTAAGGGCCAGTTAATGTGGCTGATTTATAAAGCCTTTTTGACAAGGCCTTTTGACAAATGAAAAGGCAAACCCTTCAAAATATGCCCAAGGTTCCCTCTGCCAGCGGGCACTGATGCTGCATAAGGCTCCAGACAGCCAAGGCAAAATGTCCCTCAGGAAGCCTGAACTTAAGCATCAGAATGAATTGAAATAATTATGGATTATTATTAGTCCAGCTTTGGACTCCAGTGTTTCCAGCTCCTGCCATAAGATGGTGCAGAGTCCTGGCTCCAGCCTAGGGACCAAAGCCAGGGACAGGCTGTTGCCTTGATGCTGGCACACAGTGGGGTTGCTCTGGTGTTACTGGCTCTGAGGATCCCATTCCAGGTCCTCAGCATCACCTGAGCTAGAGAAGGGAACACACAGGCTCACTTGCACATCTTTCTCTCCTGCTCACACCTGGGCTGCTGAAATTATCGAGGGCTTTGCTGTAGACCTTCATCCTTTGCATAACAAGAACGTGAGTAAGTTTGGGTGGGGGCACTCTGGTTTTGCAGCCCTCCATCCTTAGAGGAGAAAGCTAAAGGTCAACCATTTAGGAAGAGTGAAGGAGACACACACCCACAGATCCCTGACAATGGGAATTGGTAGAACCCACAACACAGGTTGTTGTGTTGGGTCTGTGGGTGTGTGCTGATGGATCAGTGGGTCTGTGCTGAGGGATCTCAGAGCTGAGTGCCCTGTAAATGCTGTGCCTTGCCTGTACTAACCTTTGTTTGGTCTGTCTCTCTCACCTGGCAACTCCTCTCCTCCCCAACCCCTCTGCACTCTGGTACAGATGGCTATAAGGAACGACTCTCTGGATAGCAAGGAGAATCTCCACACCGAGGTGAGTGAACTCTCTGACCCAAATGCTCCCACTGTGCCCAAGGAGGAGTCACCAGTGGCTCTGATGCCCTCGGAAGTGAATGAGTTGGCTGCCTGGAGTCAGGCAAGCGTCCACACGCAGCAGCATTCCCACAATCAGTATAATATTTCAAAGCAGGCACCAGCATCCTGTGCTTGTGCAGACTCGTATCAGGAGACCCCTGAAGATTCAATGGACCAAGAAGTATCTGAAATCAACAGCTCCTCAGAGCCTTTCACTTCAGAAACTTGCACAGCCTCGAGTGCCTGTTCGGAGGGTCAGCCTCTCACACCTAAGAGGAACGTGGGCAATACCGGCAGCGTGGTACTGAAGGACCTGAAGAAATACCACAGTGTAGACACCCAGGGTCTGCTAAAAAAGCCACCCTCCTGGTTAGATGATCAAAGGAGACATTCAATAGAGATTTGTTCCATAGAAAACAGCCCTCAGCACCATTCCACATCCAGCTCCTCTGGCTTTATAAGTCAGGTGGTCAGTGAAATGGAATGCTTGCAAGGTACACGACAGAAGAAGAAACTGAGCCCTCCCTGTATATCTATAGATCCACCTGACGGGCAGAGTTTGGTACCTAGAGGACCCCACAGCATCTCACCTGCCAGTGGAGACGTTTGCTTGAGGAGGCGTGCTCCATCCTGTGAGTCCAAGGATTCCATGGATATAGGGGATTCACTGCTTCCAGACAGTATGTCAACATCTCCTACCCCAAAGAAAGACTTGTTGACACTTCCTAGCTTTTCCTTTGATCAAACCGAAATGGACCCCTGAGTTACTTTTCTGTTGGTGCCAAATGTCTTCTTCCTTTCATGTAATAGAAAAAAAAAAATTAAAAACTCTCTACTCCAAAATGGCACTGGGTAAAAAATTTCCAAAGAAAGATTAAAGAACCAGCTGGTTAAAAGAGTGGTTAACCTATATCACGCTTACTTAAGCATATGTTCTGCTTAGGTAAAAGCAATACAATGTGCAGAATCTATATGTATATTATATTTTATTAAATTAATTGAATCTAGTATTGCGGGATGTAGTACATTTTGTGAGTAAAGACTCATTTAATTTTCTTCTATTTTATGTGTCTCGGAATATTTCTGAGATAAAGTTGGTTTTTACAAATATTTTAACCTAAAAAGTATATATTTAATCCCTTCTCCTTTTTTTTGTTTTGTTTTGGTTTTTTGTTTGGGTTTCATTTTGTTTTGCAAAGCACAAAATGTAGCCAATTAGTGCATTACAGAGGAAATGTATGCCACAGTCAGCAGTAAATAAGGATTATTTAATGTAATTTATTTTTCCCCATGAACTTCAGTGATATTCTGGGAAAACAATTGTTTGCATAGTACACAAACACAGTCGCAATTTTTAAACAAAATATTCCAATTTTGCATAAAATTGACATTCAGAGTATGAAAGCAAGTGCTCAGACCCAGGAAGGTCCAACATGCTGATGCCTGAAGATGGTGAAGGCAGAGCCATTTAACAGTACAAGATATTGAATTATGAAAGAATCCATGGGTGTTATAGATCATCCACTGGCAACTCACAAAACCATGTCAATGGTTAATTTTCATACATAATTAGGAAACAGACAGCAAAGGCCTGTGGTCACTTCCAAGATGTGTGTCTCCAGGATGGAATTTTAATTTTGCTGAGTTTTACACCTCCCTCATCCCTCTGTGTTCAATGGAAAGGAGAGTGAGATCAGGTTTAAGACTTGCAGTGAGTGAAATCAGGGCAAACACAGCACAACAATGGGCTTAAGCACATGCCTAAAGTTAAGCTCTCGCCTAGAATGCCTGGAGGCTGATCATATTAAAATAATTATTGAAAATTAAAATCATATGCTCATGTTCTACTGAATCAAGGCACTTCTGCAAGTTATTTTACAGATTACATGGAAGAAAGTCTGCAGGTACTGAAATGACTGCTGATTTTCAATAAAATAGCCAGGTATTTTGCTATCACTGCTAGAGTTAATTTACATGACCCTGACTGCAAATTTTATTTCCAATCTATCAATAGCCTTAAGCAGCAAAAGTGAATAAACCCAGAATTCATGTCCTTACTTTATAACATCAATCATCTCAAAAATTACCTGTTTACTCCTGTGCTAACATCCTCTGCCAAAAGCAATGTGTAAAACTGGACAGCGCAGCCCGAAAACCACGCGAGGTTGGCCCCATTCGACACCTCCCCCTCCTCACATGACTGATGGAAGCCAGACATTAACTCCACTCCACTTCCATGAAATCACGTTGAGATGTAAGCTAAATTAGACTGCAGGCATGCTTTGAAGTGTGCCAATAGTCACAGGCTTGAAACCAAGTCCACAGATCGTGCCAGCGCAGGCGGGAGGAGGATTTGTGCTAATTCTGTCAGTCGGGAGTTTGTAAGTTTTTGAGAACTACCAATCTTTGCAAATCACTACAACATGCTGATGTTCAGCTTTCTAACCATTCAGAAATTAGGCTGTTTCCACCACGTGTATCTGCATTAGATTGGAGTGTACACACAAGGAGAAGATGCTGTTCGTACCCCACAGCCTATGTGAGGTCCTAAGCCCCTTTATCTTCACTTGAGGATGTTTCCTCCATAAACAATCCCTACTGATTTACATGTCCAGAAGAAATGCAAGGGCTTTCAGCAGGAAGACAGGCAATGAGTGTATTTGAAGAAGGAGGATTAACATTCTGTACTATTTACTGCAGTTAGATTAAGTCTTGGCTGGGACATTTTTCCCCTCTTCACCACAGGCCCATAAAGAGCCTGCTCTCTTTGATATGCCAGCCCAAATCCAGAGTTAAGCCTGTCTAAAGCAATGATTTCAAACAAACCTTTCATCAGTTCTTCTCTCAGATCATATTTAAGGAAATAATAAAATTACAGTGCATTAAGCCTGAGAAATATTCTTAATCCTTTTTTGTTTTACACCCATTACAAGCCTTAGCTTTCCCTTTAACACATGCTAAATAGTTTGGGAAACTAGCTAGGCCACTAAAATTGCCATCCCTGGTTCCTCAATGATTAGGATAGTGTTCACATAGCTGGAATGATTCTGCTCTTCAGATCCTTCCTTACAAAAAACCCACTGAATGTTTTAGCTTGAAACCACGGCACAATACAGTGATATGATGCTAATCCAAATGTTCAACAGAAACAGAAAGCCTAATGGTCTTCTATTTTAATGCCTGGGGTTTTGCCTACTGACAAGGTTTGTGGAAGTAACAAAAAAGTTTACATCATACATGAATATTCAGTAAAGACTAGCCAATAAAAGAAACTATGGTGATGCTTTCAGGAAAAGAAATACATGTAAAATAGATTCTTTTCTAAACTGGATAATTTTTTTTCTAGATGCCCTTTTGAAAGACAAATACAAATGTACTGCAGCGCGTGCAATAATAATCAAATCATTTTAAAATACCTTCGGGGGGGATTTTATAGAATTTGACTTTTTTTAACAAAATGTACAAACTCCACAGGAATTCTGTAGAATGGTTATGTTGATAGAATTTTTTATATTTTTGTAGAAATCTATAGAGAAATTGTTAAAAGTCTGCACAGCATTTTGGCAACAGAAGCAGCTCTTCTCTTCGAGTTTCTTTTCATAAACCTGGAGCCAGGCCTGCTCTGTTACAACACACAGAGCATAGGTTCATAGCAGCATCCAGGTTGTGTTTGGGAGTCAGCAGCTGAGCTGAATTCCATGACATTGCAGTGCTATTACTGTCCAAGAACTGTATCCACATGAAACACCCCCCCTCCCCAAAGCTCAGCCCCTGTCCATGGTGAATAGTTGCATGGCTCTCCAGCTCGTTCAAGCACACCAGCACTTTACTACTGTGGATTTACTGTATGCAGATGGGAGGAGGATATTTTCTTATTGCCAGTCTGACACAATGGGGGAAAAGAGATTACAGACATGTCTGGAAAAATGTAAATTCCGTTCTTGCAGCCCCTCACACATAGAAGTGATTTTTCAAAAATTGGTTAGAGGTTTGTACTGTAGATATTTTGGAGGAGGGCAAAGAACACTGTTTTTGACTTCTGTGGATTGCACTCAGAACTAGGTGTGTTCAAGGAGAAAATAAAAAAACAAAAGCATTACCACTGTAAATTAGGCTATGCCCCAGTCTCCCCTTTTCTGCCCCTTTGGCTATAATAACCCATGTACACTATTATGCAAGGTGAGTAGAGTAGGTGCAGTACCATAGCAATGTCCATAACAACCTAGTATATATGACAGAACTTTGTATTTAATAGTTAATATATTGTTATACTGTATCAGGTATATAGGCCAAAATGAGGTCTTTTAGTCGGGGCAACAAAAGGTGGTACTCATGGGGAAAATTGGATTTGGATTTGAAAGTTGGAAAAAGGATTGGATCCTTTTTTTTAAAGAAAAAAAAAGAAAAAAAAACAAGTGTAAATCTTTACAACTGACAAAAAAAAAATGTGTCCTATTAAAAGCTTTTGAAAAGAAAAACAATGGTGCATTTCCCTTTTTTTTTTTGTCGTTGCTGATGATAATCTGTATCACTCCAGGCAGTCAAGTCTTTGGTCATGTTTTAATTGTGAACAGTTTGGAGAAGGTATCAGATAGCAGCGGCAGCCAGGAGGCTGGAAGGGAGATTGGGAAATGATGGCCCTTTTTGGAGCAGTTTAACCTGGCTGCAAGCAAATCTGGCCCTGGGTGTGCAGAGTGACCAGCAAGAGGATGGGCTGTGCCCTTGTGGATCCCTCTGCCCTGGCAGGAGCAGCTCTGTGCAAGGCTTGAGGAGGTCAGGACTGCAGCAGAGAGAGCTGCAGTCAGTGGGGAGAAAGGACTGAGGAGAAGGGGCAGATCTGATTTGTCTGGACTTTTTCACTCATTCACATCTTTGGGATTACCAGCCTGCAATCCAGCAGCGTCTCCTGCTGTCATTTCACTCCTTGCAAAGCAGGAGTTGGCAGGCATGGCACTGCCTGGGGCTGAAGGGCAGCTGGGGCTCAGAGCTCAGGGACTGCTTAGGTACCACCAGAAACATTTCATAGAATGGTTTGAGTTGGGAGGAACTGTGGGGAACACTGGGCTCCAGGACAGCTTTGATGAATGGAGACGAGAGATCTCTGAAGGCTGCTCTCAGAATATTATTAATTAATTAATTAATTAATTAATAATAATAATAATAATAATAATAATAATAATAATAATAATAATAATAATTATTATTATTATTATTATTATTATTATTATTATTATTATTATTATTATTATATTGAGATGGAGCAGTCCATTTGACTTTTGGACTTACCTGTACATAAGGGTATTATCCAGCCAGTAGGGGAGATTGTTTTCATCCTGGCTGTACTATTGTGAATAATTATATTTATCCATCCTTCCCAACAAGGAACCTTAAAGCTCATCCAGCCCCACTCCCTGCCATGGGCAATGACACCTTCCACTGTCCTGGGCTGCTGCAAGCCCTGTCCAGCCTGGCTTTGGACACTTCTAGGGATGGGGCACCACAGCTTCTCTGGGCAACCTTTGCCAGGGCTTCCCCACCCTCACAAGGAAGAATTTCTCCCTACTGTCTAACCTAAACCTGCCATCCTTCTGTTTGGAGCCATTCCCCCTTTTGTCCTGTCATTACAGGACCTTGTTAAAAGGCTCTTCAGGTGTTTGTAGTGAATGACAGGTGTAGCTCCTAACATGAGCTCTCCTCTCTCCTGGGGAGCAGCCACTGGAGGGAGGAACCAGACACTGGGCACTGCTCCTCACTGTCTGGAATTATCTGATTGCCCTGCAGCAGGAGAGACCCTAAACTGACATCCAGACCAGTTTTGCTGTCTAGAGGATGTTTTGATAAAGTAATCTCTCCGTAGAAAAGAGCAGGAAGAATACTAGACCTCAAACAGAGGGGAAATGTGGATCTGTTCAAAATCCCGTGCAAATCCACTCCAGGTGAGCTCTGTGATATGTCTGTGTTGTCCAGGCTGTGGAGCCAACCTCATCAGGCTGGAACCTCTTAAATGTCTTCCCAGCCCTCTGATCCTGGAGGATCCACAGGGCATGAAGGTAAGCTGGGC